CCATCTACGGTAATTTTGTTGATTCTCACAGAGCAAAGTGCTAAGAAACTGCCGCAAACTGCTACAAGTACAATCTCCGAGAAATCTATTTATTGACTAGCTTGCTAAAATTCATCGTCAAATTACCGCTGCTCGAGTTACCTAGCCAGGCCCATTTCAGTTTTGAGTACTGGAGTCGGTTATCTAGTCAAAGCCTAGCTTTTTTGTAACTTGCAAGTGCTTTTGCGGATTGTCGTGGATTTCGGCAAATAGTCGTGGATTTCGGCGATATTTTCAGATTATTCTTCAATGTCCTCAAACCTGAGCACTGGGACTACTTAAGTTTTTGCTACTATCTGAATTATTTGCTCAAGCTACTGGCTCGCTAGGTTCAAAGGTTTATTTCCTATTTATCATGAAAAAAAAAAAATTGTGCTGGGTAAAAGTTTACACGATGTTCAAGCAGGTTTGAACTCCCGACCTCGCGCAGAGCTAGCCGATCGCCTAGCCGCTAGGCTACTCGGGTGATGTACTCATGAAATTTTTGATTTAATTATATATTTACCCCTTTTTACCCCCAGTTCCATAACGGATATTATGCCAAATTATTGGACGGAGATCGTCAACTAATATTTCTTCGGATATTTCTCCGGTTTGCAGTTCCATAACCTTAGTCCTTATCCGGAGACCATCTACGGTAATTTTGTTGATTCTCACAGAGCAAAGTGCAAAGAAATTGCCACAAACTGCTACAATCTCCGAGAAATTCCCGGAGAGCTTTATCTCCGTATAATACAGTAGACGGAGCACGAGAATCATCAACGTAGAAATGGACCTCCGTCTAATAATTTGGCATAATATCCGCTATGGAACTGGGGGGTTAATCTGATTAAAAGCTACAAAAAATTCCAGAAATGAGATGGCTGGTTAAAACCTACCTTTGGAAAGCTCTGATGAACCTGCCCGTGGAGAAATAAACACACTTAACTTCACCTCAATTGAGCAATAACTATTTATCGCTTATTACTTCATTTATTTAGGATGTACAGTGTGCTTAGTAACTAATTTATTATTACAAAGTTTACTTTCTAATAAGCTAAAACGACAACTAATCTTTCGTTTTACTCCCTACTGTACTGGTTTACTCGTCAATCCAGGTATATGAGAATGTGTGAGAATGGTCTTGAAACTCTGAAAAGAGGGAAGCAGTTTTGGGGACGGGGAGATTGAAGCGGGTGGGCGACAAATGAACCCCCCCCCCCCCCCCCCTATTGTAAGCCCCCCGGCTTACAATTGACCCCCCATGCAATTACACTGAGTCAATTGATCTCAGTATAATAACATGGGGGTTAATTGTCGTACTAAGCCCTAGATTGTACCTGCTAATGAGGTGAATATCCCAGATCATAGCTTCACAGGTAGGACTGTATAATGGGGGCCCTGATGTTATAGTGGACATCACTTTCCCCTCCCTTATCTGATTAAAGGATACAAAACAGTCAAGAAATGAGATTGGTTAAAACCTACCTTGGGAAAGCTCCGATGGACTAGCCCGTGGAGAAATAAACACACTTAACTTCAGCTCAATTGAGCAATAACTGCCTATTTATTGCTTATAACTTCATTTATTTTGGATGTAGATTGGGCTTCGTTGTGAGATACTATACCTGAGTGATTACTCCGAACTTTCTAAAAAGCTACAAAGTTAACTTTCTGAAAAGCTACAAAGTTAACTTTCCTACTGTACTGGATTACTCGTCAATTCAGGTATAGGAGTATGTATTAGAACGGTCCTGAAACTATGAAAAGAGGGAATTAGCGGTTTTGGGGACGGGAAGATTACAGCATCAAAAACGGGTAGGATGTAGGAGCCTAGGAGGGTAATTATAATAATAAAGGTACTGGGGGATTGAACAACTTACTTACTTTCGGCGATCCTCGATCGAACTCCCATTCACTGTCTGCCTCCACACGGCTTGATCGCACATAACAGTTCGAAGGTCGTCCAACTGGAGCCCAGTGTCACGAGCTACTACGTCCAGGAAGGTGAGTGGTCTCCTTCCACAGTTCCACGGCCGGACTGGGTAAGTCGCCAGGGGAGGATAGAGGAGATAACTTGGTCAGAAGCTCTCATGCAGTGCCCAGCAAATCTGTTACGCCTTGACGCAAGCCTAGGGCTTAGTACGACAATTGACCCCCGACAATTAACCCCCATGTTATTATACTGAGATCAATTGACTCAGTGTAATTGCATGGGGGGTCAATTGTAAGCCGGGGGGCCACCCGCTTCAATCTCCCCGTCCCCAAAACTGCTTCCCTCTTTTCAGAGTTTCAAGACCATTCTCACACATTCTCATATACCTGGATTGACGAGTAAACCTGTACAGTAGGGAGTAAAACGAAAGATTAGTTGTCGTTTTAGCTTATTAGAAAGTAAACTTTGTAATAATAAATTAGTTACGAAGCACACTGTACATCCAAAATAAATGAAGTAATAAGCGATAAATAGTTATTGCTCAATTGAGGTGAAGTTAAGTGCGTTTATTTCTCCACAGGCAGGTTCATCAGAGCTTTCCAAAGGTAGGTGTTAACCAGCCATCTCATTTCTGGAATTTTTTGTAGCTTTTAATCAGATTAACCCCCCAGTTCCATAGCGGATATTATGCCAAATTATTAGACGGAGGTCCATTTCTACGGTGATGATTCTCCGGCTCCGTCTACTGTATTATACGGAGATGAAGCTCTCCGGGAATTTCTCGGAGATTGTAGCAGTTTGTGGCAATTTCTTTGCACTTTGCTCTGTGAGAATCAACAAAATTACCGTAGATGGTCTCCGGATAAGGACTAAGGTTATGGAACTGCAAACCGGAGAAATATCCGAAGAAATATTAGTTGACGATCTCCGTCCAATAATTTGGCATAATATCCGTTATGGAACTGGGGGTAAAAAGGGGTAAATATATAATTAAATCAAAAATTTCATGAGTACATCACCCGAGTAGCTTAGCGGCTAGGCGATCGGCTAGCTCTGAGCGAGGTCGGGAGTTCAAACCTGCGTGAACACCGTGTAAACTTTTACCCAGCACAATTTTTTTTTTCATGATAAATAGGAAATAAACCTTTGAACCTAGCGAGCCAGTAGCTTGAGCAAATAATTCAGATAGTAGCAAAAACTTAAGTAGTCCCAGTGCTCAGGTTTGAGGACATTGAAGAATAATCTGAAAATATCGCCGAAATCCACGACTATTTGCCGAAATCCACGACAATCCGCAAAAGCACTTGCAAGTTACAAAAAAGCTAGGCTTTGACTAGATAACCGACTCTAGTACTCAAAACTGAAATGGGCCTGGCTAGGTAACTCGAGCAGCGGTAATTTGACGATGAATTTTAGCAAGCTAGTCAATAACTCAATAAGTATATTTCTCGGAGATTGTAGCAGTTTGCGGCAGTTTCTTTGCACTTTGCGCTGTGAGAATCAACAAAATTACCGTAGATGGTCTCCGGATAAGGTAATGGAACTGCAAACCGGAGAAATATCCGAGGAAATATTAGTTGACGATCTCCGTCCAATAATTTGGCATAATATCCGCTATGGAACTGGGGGTAAGAAGGGGTAAGGGGGCCGGGGGGGAGATGATGTCCGCTATAAAACTATAACATCGGGCCCCCATTATACAGTCCTACCTGTAAAGATATGATCTGGGATACTCACTTCATTAGCAGGCACATAGAGGTTTCAGACAAATTCTATTGACTTATTGACATTCCTACTATACCTAGTAATATTGTATTTATTATATTCTTTGCAAGAAATTAAAAGATGTAATATCCATGTATATTCTTGTGGCTATTGTATAAATTGTATCTAAAATTTTTTCGCTGTCTCAGGTTTTCTTAAATTTTGTCTCAGGATTATTCGCTGTCTCGGGATTTCTTAAATTTTGTCTCAGGTTTTTTCGCGCGTCTCAGGATTCTTAAATTTTGTCTTAGGTTTTTTCGCTGTCTCGGGATTTCTTAAATTTTGTCTCAGGTTTTTTCGCTGTCTCGGGATTTCTTAAATTTTGTCTCAGGTTTTTTCGCTGTCTCGGGATTTCTTAAATTTTGTCTCAGGATTTTTCGCTGTCTCAGGATTTCTTAAATTTTGTCTTAGGATTATTCTGCTGTCTTAGGATTATTCTGCTGTCTTAACTTTTGCACCTGTGTCTCAGGAATTTTTGCAAATCTAATCCTAAGATCCGAGGCTGGGGGAGGCCTTAATAAGTTGATCCACCTTCCACAAGTTAGACCCAATTTCGTCTACTTGCTGTGAGGTGTACACATGTCTCAGCTACATGGGTTGGGGGTCCCCCTTCCCCCTTCCCCCTCCTCCCTTTCCCCAATTTTTTCGGAATATATTTAATCAAAGAGCAACAATGATGCTATTTTTTCTGAATCAAACCTCATTTTTCAGATATCTAGAATGATTGAATTGAGTTAAATTACAATGCATCTTGTTTGGCCTTTTAAAATGCACTTGAATTGTCTCCATGTTGTAAGAAACGTTTTATTAACTTAAAAACTATAGTTGTGGAAAACGTTGATTTCTACCGAAAAATTGGAGCTTTCGATGCTCAGTTGACCAAGATATCAAGCATATTGATTGTTGGGTTTTTTCATGTCTTGGGTTAAGTTTTAACACTAAATCCCACTTTGCTAAAAAGACAAATTGCTTGATAACTACATCATTTCAAATCCGTTTTACATCATGTTTTTGGATCACACTGCACATTAGCTATTGCAACATGTTAAAATGGACTGCGGTATGCCATCTGCAAAGTTTAAAAAAATCTCAACACTTATTTTACTTCAGACATTCCAACAGCCACATTGTTACACAAGTGTGTAACCAGCCAAGTTACAAGTCTCAAATATGAAACATGGCTATGTGTATAAATCACAATTGTTATATTTAGATGCAGAGATGGGGAAAATATTCAATCCTCTGCTGAGGATTACAGCACAAACTTTATCCTAACAATTCATCATTTCAGGATTATCAAAATGGCAGCCATCGCTCTGCCAATGAATAAACTCAAAAATGAGGATAATGGCAACGACATAAGTTTAATTCAGAGACTGAAAAATGGGGATACTCTCAAATTTGTCAATTCATACCATCGCAATGAGCAATTAAGGAATGAGAATTGGGTGAAGACTGATAACAATTGCTCTAGCCAAGTCGAATACTACGAGGAATTACCTGAAACTAGATCAGTTAAAGCTTCTAACAAAGACATTGCTTATCATAATAATCACGGTAATGATGCTCCTTTGATGGTATCTGACATAGAGAAGAACCTGTTACCCCTGACTGCTGAGGGTGCAAATGAGAACCTATATGAATTATGGAGACTACATGAAATTATAGGACATTGTGACAGTTACATATCTTATTACTATGACCTGAGGGAAAATTCTTTAACCCAATACTATCAGTATCTTGAATTATACAATGGAAATAACAGGTTTCCCTCTTCATACAATGGAGGTATTACTGTCAATCAGAATGTCAATCAGAATGTGTCATTTGATCACGAATCTTGCGACGTAAGTGTGCCTGTGTACCATCAAGAAGCTCCGAAACCACTGAAGCAAGTGTCCAAATTCAATCAACAGAGGTCGTGTGAATACTGGGAGGGAGTTTTACCCAAAAGAAAGAAATTATCTGGTGAGGCGAACCCTCCAGTTTATAGCAGAAAGGTATTTGTTGGAGGGGTACCATGGGATATAACTGAGGAACAGCTCAGGACTGCTTTTGCCAAGTTTGGGAGTTTCATGGTCCAATGGCCTACTAGGGATTCAGCTAGTGCCTCCAACGTTCGCATCAAAGGTTATTTGTATCTGATTTTCGACAACAAAGATAGTGTGTGGAATCTTGTTGAGCAGATCAAGGAAGTTGGAGCAGAAAGCAATGGGGGGTCAGTGACCTTCAATTTCAGGATAAAATGCAACCGCAATAAGCATGTACAAATAGTTCCTTGGATAATTTCTGATAACTTTTGGGAGGAGAGGTGTTTTGATTTAGAGGAAAAGATCTGGACTATATTTGTCGGTGGGTTACATGGCAAGTTGTATGCACAAGCTCTTTTTGCCATTTTTAACAATTTGTTCAACAACGTTATTTCTGTTAAAATTGACACAGATGAATATAATTACCCAACTGGGTCTGGTAGTTTAAGATTCAGTAGCAGAAAAAGTTACATAAAAGCAATCAATGCCAATTACATTGAGGTGAAGACCTCTACATTCGGTCCCAAGTCTATCGAAATTCAGCATTACATGGAGGACGAACTTTGTAGCATTTGTCTCCGGTCTCCTGGAAAGAAGTTCTGTAAAACTGAGTGCTTCGAGTATTTCTGTGATATGTGCTGGAAACACAAACACAAATATAAACCTTCAAGCCAACACGTTGCAGTCACAAGACACCACAAGAATAAAGAGTCTGAATTTACCTACTAGAAAACTAAGGCTTCAGCTAACCAGATACTGAACTGCTAATATAATGTCAATTGGAAGAACTGATAAGCTTTCAATTCCACTCCAAGTGAAGCATGCCATGTTAAAAATACACTTTGAACTTCGACAAAAACGGTGATGAGAAAATTACTTCAAGAAGTAGAAAATTATGGAACTGTTTTATTCATGAGTATCGTAGAACGTGATTATTTCAATTTCATGAATGACTATTCTTGCAAATCACTGATCGTGATCAACAATGTGTAATCTTAGGTGTTATAATTATAATTCTATTTTGTTTTGTTACACTTCAGTTACAGATGCATTTAATTTTGAGCCAAATTTAGTAAAACCTTACAATTTGTTAGTCAGGACTCAGGCTAGGTAGTGTGACCAACCTGTTTTGTTATAATGTACTTGTTTCTTTTCATTATTTCGTTAAATTTGAGTCTGTGTTCATCAATAAGTGATACTGTTCTGGAAAGCAATATCTATACTTGGCATTGATTGGTAGTCACTAGTCATTAGATCAAACAATGAATTGAGCATTTTACACAGTTAAATTTATTTTTTGCAGAACTGTTAGTTTTCTTAAAATATTCAGTACAGTGTGTTTTATGACACAGCAATGTTTTGTGTTTTTTGAACAATATAATATACAGTGTTGTGTGATCATGTCAAAACTGTTATTTTGCTGATTTCCTTGAGAACTTTCTTTGTTGTAGGTAACATTATATTAATGGTATTATGGACACGTTTTTTTTTAAGTGTGGTGAAAATGACTTTGAGTGCCATTACACTTTTGACAGTGTAAGTGAAATGACTAGTAACTAGAAAGTGTAGCACAGATATGCCTTCAATCTTAACTGCCCGTGTAAGGAAAATCCATTACTTAGTTAATATGTCATAATATAGTACCAAGGCAGTGCCAGTTTTCAGCATTTTGGACTATAATGTTGAAAACGCCCATAAAAAACTGAATTTTGCGACTTTTCTGTTCAAAATTCAGATTATGTCTCAGAATTATTCAAAGAATATTTGGATTTTGGTAGGAATACTTGAACTGTGCTCAAAATAAGCAAAAAGTCATTTGTTTGGAAAAATTTCTAGTTGGTTGATTGGGTTGTACAAGGCCCATACTTTTGATCAGCTTGTGAATGAACTGTAACAACTTTCAATAAACGTTGGTCTGTAATAATGTAACCTAGGAAAAACCTATTGTGTGCCTGTATTCAGTAAAAATTCACTCACAAAATTACAATTGATTTTTTTACATTGCAGTAGCTAGACAGCAACAAATTATAACGTTTTTCAATCATACTGTCGAGATTAAGTCTGCTTAACAGCATTCTGTTCGAAAATAAAATTAAGAGTGTGTCAGTTTTCAGTAAAAAGTCATTTTTAGGTCAAATTCATCACGATTAAAAATTCAAAAGAAATGACTCTTTGCTGAATATTGGCACTATACAATTGTTGTCTGACAGCATAGGCAGGTTCATCAAGATGATTCTTTACAAAATCTAACGATATTGTGTGTTCTAATTCAGCAAAAAGTCATTTTATAAATAATATTTTTAGCTTAAAATCTTCTCAGAAATGACTTTTTGCTGATTATTGGCACGATAAAGTAGATTTCTGACAACAATATTATGTTCATCATGGAAATTTGGTACATACTATTGATGTTTGAAGTTCATTTTGCCAGTTTTAAGTTAGTTATAGCAGGTTATCACAACACTGCTTACAAAGCAAAAATTTTATGTGATTTACCATTGGTATATGCCTAGAAAAAGAAGTCATTTTAAGCTGAATAATGGCACACAGTGCAACAAAATTGTGCCACATTAAACGAAAAAGGCACAACGCTCCCTCAAACAATATTCCGAACTAAAAAGAGTGCCATTTAGCAGTAAGAATGACTATTTCTGTCAAATAAGTCACTTTTTACTGATTTTCAGGACACATATGCTGTTCAAATTTTCAGGATGTAACTAAACTAAGATTCGTATCTGCAACATGAACAATTCGGTGGTTTGAGATGATTAATAATGCTGATATTGACTTATAATAATTGGTAATTCCCACGTTGGCTGCAGAAGTCACTACAGCTGATTAGTGGCACTCTCATATTATTATCTGTTTTTGACCCCTTTATGAACACATTACTTTTCGAAATAGATGCTTAAACTAACACTAGTACACCCATGGATCAAGAAATAGACAATTTTTGTCTTTTTACATCATTTATCTATATGACTGATATGCTGAATTTGGGCACTCGGGACATAATTGAGTGTAAGCAGTACAGAGTTCAAGCCTTCTTTTAACTGATTAATGGCACCTTCAATCTAAAAGTCAATAAGGTGACTGAACAAGAGAACTGAAATTTCGATACCTATTTCATCAAATAGAAAAAATTAAATTTCAAGCTGATACATGTGTGACTTTTTGCTGATGGCTGGCACATAAACATGTAGGAATTAGTTTAAAGACACAACCAATCATTGTCTTATCCAGAAAAAAACACAGTTATGCCTTGATCTTTTTAATATTTTGACAAGAACCATCAATAGAGCAGTCGTATTCAGATATAAAAATGACTTTTTACTGACTTCTGTCACTTACTGGAATTGCTAATAATGACTAAAATGCTGAAAACAGTTACTCACTCCAATCTACTAGTGTAATGTGAACAATATTTGAGCAAAATATGGCGAAATCAATGGAATTAGTCAATTGGAGGTTAAAATGGTTTGCTGATTTTTGGCACTCAGTTTAATTGCTCATAAGTCATATTCTGCTTGAGCCTGGCACTTCGTTTTTTCAAATCACAACTGCTGAATATTTTCACTTCATCTTATGTACAAATTTATGGTTGCACTTTAAAAAGTACTGCGACTTTTTCCTCATTTTGTGCACTCTACTTTGAAAAAGGTGAAATCAGCAACTCACCACACTTAAAAAAAAACGTGTCCTTATCTAATGTGTTAGCCACTGTAGTACTTTATTTAAAGTGATCTGAAATATGAAAATCAGAGTAAGTATGAAACTTAATTGTTACACTGTAGTTATATTGTTTGGTATTGCTAACATTGAAAGTTGCTGATACTAATGCTAGCAGATACATTCAACGTTTTGATAGTTTTCGTCCACACTTACACTTGAACTTCACACTTGCACTTTGGGCTCTTGTACACTTGACCTTTACGGGTTTTATTCAGATTGGCTATTGTAATTATAGTTTACCTGATTTAGTATTTATATTTCGTCAATAATGATAAAATTACTATGATCATGAATGAAAAATTTTCAAAATTGAACAATAACTTTGTCATAATTTCTGAATCAAGTGATAATCAACGAAATGTTCACTTTATCATAATTGCGTTTTGTCACATTTGTGTAGACGAGAAATAATAAGGAAACGTCGATTTAAAATTGTTTTGCAGTATTGTGAGATTCATATTTAAATTCATCTGACTGTCTCAGCTTGCCTGATTTGTAAATGTCTTAGAATTTTCTTAACAATAATTTTAACCCAGGTGAATCAAGGAAGCAAGCTATGTTTCACTTTGCAGGAGATGGAACATACCATACCGCAGAGCCTCATTCTCGTCAACTCCGACAATACAGCAACCCTTATGGTAATGAAGCATTTCCATTGATGCGTATGGTCCAACAAATACCCCCTACCGTAGTAGCTGATCAACCATGGACGAGAGAAGAGAAAACTACATGGAGTGGAGACTTCAAGCCAAGAGACTGGAGTGTACCCCCATGGATTTTCTCTAACAAGATCTTCATAGGAGGAATCCCACCAAATATGGCAGAAGACACACTCATTCGTTTACTGCAAAAGTTTGACAACAACCTGTATGTGCAATGGCCTGATGCAAATCCTATTTCAAAAACCACCCCTCCATACCTTCGAATAGTCATGAGTTCTAATGAGAATGTTTCAAAACTTCTTGAAAATTGTGAATTTGTCGTCGATGGCGGATGTGAAACATTCATCTACAAAATCTTTTACAAGAACAAAAGAAGACACCTCCAAATTGTTCCTTGGTTGTGTAGCGATAGCAATTTCAATAGAAGTCAGGCTGTACTATTGCAGTCAGAAACTAAGTTCACTGTATTTGTAGGAGCTCTTCATGGACGTATGCATGCTGAAGCTATCGCACACATCTTTGGTGACGTTTTTGGAGATGTTATATCTGTAAAAATTGATACAGATGAGCATGATTACCCCACTGGTTCAGGGAGAGTTTCTTTTGGAAATGTTGACAGCTTCAAGAAGGCCGTACTATCAAACTTTATCCAGATTGATTCTAAGAAGGTTAAGAAACGCATTCAGATTGAGCCATGCATTGATGGCCAAAGTTGTTGTCTCTGTTTGGAGGAGAATGTTCCTAACTTTTGCAAAAATTTAGAATGTTTTGACTACTATTGTAACCCTTGTTGGCTCATCAGACATCAACCTGCCGAAGGAATGCCACTGGATCACTGTCCCATCAGAAGAAAGTCCAAAAACCCGTCAAGAAACAGTATTGGCTAATACCATTCCACTATACCATACCATACCATCTGAATCGTGAAATGATCGATCATATAAACAATCATATAAACTGTTAATATAAGTTAGGGAAGTTAACTGTATCGTAGTGAAATAGCTATACCTACAGGTAATGTTTTTAAATCATTGTTTTCCAATATTCATCTTATTATTTTATATCCAGTTGCATATTTATCAATCCGTGATAATTTTCAACTATCTTCGTTTCTGAAGGTCACAGAACGTAGAGGGCTCTGGTAAATGGTTTAACTTTTAGAGAGCTTTTAGAGCCTGCATCTCCAGGAGTAAGCTGCAGGAATTTTTTCTTGAACCTTGGAGTTACCCCTCATTCATTAAGAAAGGTGGATCGGTTAGTGAAATTGTAGTTAAATCGTAGTGCTACAGACTTGAATAGATTTCATTTAGTACCACCAGTAGCACCTTCAGAAACGATCTTATTTCCATTCTTATAATTATGCTTTGCTCAAAGTGTTGATACAAATCGATATCTTTATCCAAATTTACTAGCTCATACTATTTAAATTATTATTCTTAAGTTGTTATACATACCAGTTTTTTTCGTTTTTGCGTTTAAATGAAAATGTCGTCAACATGACAAAATAACAGCACATAAGCTAGTTCTAGTATAGAATCAGTGTTGAATTTATCAAGAAAATTACGATTTCATTAGATGGAAGAAAATGAGCTCTACTCATTAATTGTTTCTCTTGATCTTTGTAAATATAGAATGTACATTATAATTTTGATCAGGAAGTTTTATTTAAGCAATCTGTTTGATATATATCTGGTACGTTTGATATTTCCGGAATATATGGCAAATGATGCACGTTTGAACTGTAATAGGTAACTTAAGTTTCTTTATTATAAATACTGATTCTGTTAAAATGTAATTTGTACTACCATTTTATTATTATCATTTTTATTCATTTATGATTTCCATTTGCGTAGTTTTTGCATACAGTTCAATTCTGGTTTCTGTCATTCAATCACTGTAACGGCCAAAAGAAAACAAGTGTGACTTAAAATCAGCTATTTGAAATAAAAACGTGATTGCTAAGGTTATCTGAACTTTCTAATATAAGATGACTTCCGAATTCCGCTCTTTATATATTATGATGTCTAACTAAACAATTCCTAAATAATTTTTCTTACCAAATTTGTAACATTCCCCAGATGTTTCGATCACCAAAGCCGAGTAAGCCGAACGGTTCATCGGAAATGACACCACTTACCCGACAATTGCATGAAATGCTGAATATCGGGTGCCCCCCATCTTCTGGGCCACCAGTACCGTTCACAGACAACTTAAATCAATACATGAATCGGAGCTCTTATTCTGAAGGTCCGACATATCATGATAAGCACAGTATCAACAAAATGGACGATGGCGGATACAAGGGTAATTTGGCACGAGCAGTTTCTTCTAATCCTGAGCATTCCTTCTTTGCGACAGCTTGTGACACCAAGTGGGCTCCATCTAGTTCAGATTTTGACCGTGCTAGTTTTGCAGTAAAGCCATGTTTAAAGAATGATGCTAGTCTAGATTTCTACAATTCATTCAAAAACGATCACTATCCTAAACTTTGGGAAGGTGATCTTGAAAGGAGAGATTTCAACAATGGATCCGGAATCTTCAGCAAGAAAATATTCATCGGCGGAATTCCAAGAGATATGACTGAAGAAGATATCATTAGTATATTTTCTAAGTTCGACACTGATGTTAGAATAGAATGGCCCGAAAGTCGCCCAAATATAAGAAGTACTCCTAAAGGATACCTTTATATCATATTGAGCACGAATGAGAATGTCAGAAATTTGTTATACTCGTGCGATCTTGTGTATGAAGGAGGCTGTGAAACGTTCAACTTCGACATCATCTACAAGAAGAAACTGAAGCAGCTTCAAGTTATCCCTTGGCTAACATCAGACAGTCATTTCAAGTTTGGTGATCCGACAGACTCTCAAAAAATAAAGTTTACTGTGTTTATTGGTGCACTTCATGGTCGTCTACACGCTAAAGCGATCGCATTCATATTCAATAAAATGTTTGGAGAAGTTCTGCTTGTGACCATTGACACTGATCGCCATAAATACCCAACAGGATCGGGTAGGATTACTTTTGCTTCTGATGAAAGTTATAAAAATGCCATTTCAGCTAACTTTATTCAGATTGAGGCAAAGAAGGTTAGTAAGAAAGTTCAGATAGAACCGTGCATTGATGGCCAGAAGTGTTATCTTTGCTTAGAAGATGACGCCCCAAACTTTTGTAAGGAACCAAAATGCTTTGAGTATTATTGTAATAGCTGTTGGGGGAAGAAGCATTCCTCACCAGGCAACAAAAACCACATACCAATTCGTCGAAAGAGTAAATTTGAGTATTGAACCGTGTTAATGAATAATTGTCCATCTTGATTCTTCATGAAAAGATTGATTGATATAATATTTATACTTGCATTGTCCTCAATATCTTTATGTAATCTAATTCATGACTTTCTTACGTATGTAATTTTCTTACTTTGTACCATGATTATCTAACCAGTTTAACAGATGTGAAATTTATTTGTAATGTTAACATTATTAATTGGCCTTGGGCAAAATAACATTTAGATAAAGAACCGAGCAATTAAAAAAAACACAATCGATGGATTACGACAGTCAAAGGCCAATCAATAATGGGAACTCTAAAGTTAAGTTATGAGTATTTTGTTTAATGTAATAAATTATTTTTGTAAAAATATTATCAAGCAAATGTAACTTTGCTGTTTGGTTAACAATTTTGTCTACTTACCAGTAACTGGGTATAACACCTCATGCTTTGCGAATATGTTTATATATGGGCTGAATTCTAACTTTTGGCAAGCCCCCAAATTTTGAAGTCCTGGAATATGTTAAATTCAAATTTTTAAAAATTTGTCGAATTCGAGTACGTTTAAGTTTGAAGAGCAGACATCATGATATTGAATTTACAGTATCAATTATGATTTGGAAATAGGCTTTGTAATAGACCCGATCCTGCTGATCGAAACAAATATGAATTCCGAATTTTTTTGATTTCATTTTTTGGGAGATTGAGTTATGATTTCGAACATCAAGTCTGTGATGAGATATTAACTGAGAAATTTTCACTCACTGGTCACTAGCCATCAGAGCAATACAGCAAGCAGAGAGATACAATTTCCCTTGACCACTCCCCTGATTCTACAGTGGAGTTCGGAGGAGTCAATGACAAACAAGATTGCTTAGTTCGTATTAGAGTTCGGCATAAACCATTATGTCTACAATGGATTTTAGCTAACTCTATTGCTGGCTAACTTGTTAGACGTTTGGAATTGCCCATTGATCACGGCCATACAAAAATTCAAAATTCTGACATTGGGAAATTGGTCGACTCAATTGCCACGACTCTTGTAATTTCTTGATCTTAGCTCCTCTTGCTATATTCCCAGCTGTTAAGTAATTTGTTCATATGATCATGAGAAGTATAGTATGAGTTTGTGCTTTACTCAGTGAAGTTTATAATTTATGATATGTACATAATTTTCGATTTAGTTATTTACAGCTAGGTATTGTATAATAAGGTAATCTAAATTATTCTATTCTATTATTTAATTATTCACCCAGTTTTGCGTTATAGTACAAACTCAGTTTAGATGTCGTATGATGGCATGAAAGTTGTATATATTTACTATCATTGCAAATTTTAGTATTTGATTCATACCTTGCCTATATCGAGTATTTAGAATATCACTTTACCCTGATTAGACCATATTTTAATTCATTTTGTAGCAACGGCAGCAAATCAATGTAAAACGTGTATTTCACTTTTCAAAATCTTCTTCAATTTGTAAAGTTGTAATTCATTGCATTTTTAGAAGTCCACGTCTTTACTGTGCAGCACAAGCGGTTTAATTGATTGCCAAATCGAGTATAGTGAGCATGATAAAGTTGCACTCTCTATTGCAACACTATTTCTGAGTCAATATGACAATTGACACCGTTGGACGAAATAAACTAGAGTTATTATCAATGTTTTCATTGAATTTAATTTGTCGAGTCACAAAATTACATTGAAATACATATCGTGACACGAAATTGATCAACAATACGAACTTACTCACTTCATTTATCTATACTCAATTTATTGCAAATATGTATTCACAAAAATTCATTGCAGTTAAAGTCAGACTATTCTGCTTACTTTCTATAAGTTCAGGTCAAATGGCTTCTGTCGGTGCAGAGCAGCAATCTGTGTCATTCACATCAAACGATGATTCATCGTTTGATAACATCACGAAGCTTGAGAATGAAATGGAGCTAGATACATCTCCAGTTTCAACGGTACATCGTTCAAAACGACCGAAATTAAAACAAAAACAGCCCAAGAACAAAGCTAAAGATTCCTCCGTGCGTTTTGATGATCCTCCGTCTGGTTTATCGAGTGATTCCAACATAAACTTGGAAATTAACGCAGATGACATAATTTCTACACAAATAGGCAATCAAGCAAATGATTCCTCAGTATCAGTTACCTACCGCAGTTTTCTTTCCTTGATCCTTCATCAAAACAGTCTTGGAGCGGCCTATTATGACACAGAAAATTGTGTTCTAAATGTCTTCAAGGAAATTTCCGAGACAAATTCATTTTCCAATTGTCTAAACATATGTTTACAGTGCTATCCTGACAAGATAATAGTTAGCACTAAGCAAAAATCGACTCTTATTGATGCGATCAACTCACAATACTTTAATGACGGTGAGAGTGGAATTGAAGTTGTTTCCCACTCCTTGTTTGCGTACGAAATGGCTAAACGGCGACTTCAGAGTCTTCAACTTAGTTCTCAGCAATCATCAGAGTTGACAGACGAACAAAGAGATGTATGGGCTAGCTCAGTCCTTGATTTTGGTGATACAAACAGTATTAAAGCTGCAGGGGCCTTACTGCGTTACATTGATCAAAATAGAATTGGAATAGAGCTAGAAGAAAGCTTCATTCAGGCACCAATTCTAGCTGTTGCTCAAGTCTCTGTTCCATTAACACTCTTCCTAGACAATGACACGTTTCTTGCATTGCAGATATTTCAAGATGAAAGCCATCCCTCAAGTGCTAAAAGAGGTTCAAATAGCTCTGGCAAAGAGGGTCTGAGTTTATTTGGTCAGATGGACCGAACAAAGTCGAGGCTTGGATCTTTGAAACTCAAGCATTGGTTCAAAACTCCCTCAAAGGATATCAATATTATTCTCCAGCGACAGGAGGCCATTGGTTATTTCTCTCTCAATGAGAACCTTGATAAGGTCATCGCTCTAAACGACTGCCTAAAAAATATCAAGAATCAAACACATATCATCGCTAAAATGACAAGTTCTCACATTTCGGTCCATGATTGGCACACCCTGTACAAAACTCTGTATAATTCTATTTGTTTGCTTGATCTGTGCAACTCTCTGGAAAACGGTATTGAAACTGTTGAATTGATCCAAAAGGCTGACTTTTCCAATCTGCGAGAGATCCTAGCTATGATCAACAAGATAATGGATTTCGAGGAGTCAAAATTAAAGAACAGATTTGTCGTAAAGCATGGGATTGACAGAGATTTAGATGAAAAGAAACGGGTGTTCAATGGCTTGCCAGAACTTATGACTAAGGTAGCTGAACAAGAACTATCACAACTTGATGACAGAGTTCTGGAGTGTAATGTTATATATCTACCACAGCTGGGGTACTTGCTAGCAATTCCTCACTACCCATTCATCAAGGAAGATGACGGTTACATACTCCGAAATCTTGACTTCATGTTTTTGAGCAACGGAACTTTGTACTATAAAAGTGAGCACACTAAGGAGCTGGATAGACTTCTTGGTGACACTCAAAGCGAAATATGTGATCATGAGTCTGGTATCATGCATAGGCTTCAAAACACTATTTTACAGTATGTGAAGCTTATATTGAAAGCTCTTGATTTTTCGGCAGAGTTAGATTGTATCATATCCATTGCTTCTTTCGCCAAAGACAACAATTTGGTATTTCCGAAAATGACGGCAAACAAGAAAATTAATATACATGGCGGCAGACACATTTTGCATGAAATGTGCTCTCATCAATTTGTTTGTAACAATTCTCTCTTTAATCCAAATGATGGTTACATGAAAGTAATATCCGGACCAAATGCTTGTGGCAAAAGTGTTTACCTCAAACAGACTGCTCTTATAGTCTACATGGCACATCTGGGAGCTCCAGTTCCTGCCGAGCAAGCTGAAGTTTGTGTCTGTGATTCAATTTTCACCCGGATAAAATGCATCGAATCTGTTTCAATCAACTTATCAACCTTCGTTCTTGATCTAAACCAACTAACCAAAGCTGTAAACCGTGCTACCGGTAGATCATTGATAGCTATTGATGAATTTGGAAAAGGAACATCTCAACATGATGGAGTTGCTTTGTATGCGGCAGTTTTAAAACATTGGCTTTCTCAAGCTGAGGACTGCCCGTTTATTCTTGCAGCCACACATTATCATTCTATATTCAAACTAAAACTTCTTCCACCATCACCTCTGGTTAAGTTCAAGACTTTTGATGTAATTTCAGACAGCAATGGTATTGTTTATCTTTATAAACTTATTGATGGATACTGCCTTCGTTCACAGGCAAATCATGTGGCTAAACTGGCAGGTCTTGATGATACTATCCTTGAGCGTGCTGGGGAAGTTTTAGAGCTCACATCCCAACAACAGCATATAACATCACTGTGGAAATGTGACAGCAATCATATAAGAATTGTTAAAATGTTTATGTCGTCTAATTTTGAAGACTCTTCAAGTTTTGAAACTTTTCTTCGTGAAATAAATAAATTGTCTAGCATTGATTAGAGATCCAATTAAGATTGATGCATTATTTATAACGTAAATTTTTCACTGAAACTTAATAATCGATTTATTTTTTGTTGATTAAATTTGTTAAGTTATTTAAGTCAGTTTTGATGCTTTTGTTATTGGAATGCATAACTTTATTACTGGATTCCAGGATGTTTTATAATTGTGTCGTTTCTGTTTATTTCGGTTTTTATCTGAGTCTTGACATTATATCAGTACTGTGAAGTGTGATTTAAGCTAACGACTATTTAACATCAGTGCTCAGCTCAGATAATATTAATATCTCATTATCATTTTTCCTTAGTAATGAACCAAGCAGCAGCCCATGCATTCGGGCATATCAGACACAGAGAAAGATTTTTTCCTGGAGAAAAAGTTCTTGCAAAGTATGGTCATGGACATACTTTCTTTATCGCTATCGTGTTGGAAGTTATGGGAGAAGGTAATAATAAGGCAGACGAAAGTCCCTCGTAACAGATCTAAATTCCCTATGTTGCCTGTATAGTAGTCTTTATCACTTGGCCTATATAGTTATTAAAACTGTTTTAATACATTAATAATAATAATAATAATAATAGGATTATGGCCACATAGCCATCTCGACAAAACTTGAAACCCAACTGCACTCTACGCTATTGCAGTTCGCACAATATTTTCAAAAAGAAAAATGTTCCTATCCGGAACATGTAATGATTAATTATTTTAAGGACGTTAACATGTAGTTCTGAATTTAACAATCAAGATACATTGATTCCTCGGTATTTAGCAATCAATGGGTTATTAGACATGAAATATGCATATGAATCATGCTCACATGTATTTATTTTTGACATCAAGGTTTCGCTGAGATCCCAGAAGTGACCCTTTGACGATGCTCCACTCGCTATCAGTTCATTTTTATAACATTGAAGTCGAGCTTTGAATGCGTCTACTGAACTGGCTTCTTTAACCGAACTTGGTACTTTGTTCCAGTAATTGGCAACCCGGTTACTGAGGACCTGATTTCCTCTTTTATCTTTTAGGATCTTGGTACCACTACGTGATATCCTGAAAAGATCTTGTCCATAGTCCACTTTACCCGTCGTTATTTTAAAGGTTTCAATAAGATCACCCCTCATACGGCGCTCCAGTAGTGTTGTTAACTGGAGGATTCTCAGTCTCTCATCGTATGGTAGGATACCAATCCCGTCGATTATTCGTGTAAATTCTCTCTGAACATCTTCTATCTTCTTAATAGTCCTCCAGTTTCCGTGCTCTGCTGGTAGATTCCACACTTGCACAGCGTATTCGATGTGAGGTCGAACTAGAGTTCGGTAGACATTTAGCATAACAAATTTGTTACGGCAGATCAAGCTTCGTTTGATCCAGCCTATAACAGACTTTGCTTTTTTCACGGACTTATCTATATGGTCACTCCAGTCCAGGTTTCTGGTAGTTAGAACTCCAAGATCCTTTTCTGACTTCACTTGGGGGAGGCATTCCCCATTCATGAAGTACTCATGCATTGGATTGTTACGCCCAATATGTAGTACCTTACACTTGCCATCCTTCACATTGAATCTTAGGAGCCATTCCTTCTCCCACGCATTGAGTTTCAGTATATCATCTTGCGCAACACTGTGATTAGCTGTGCTCGTTACTAGCTTAAGATCGTCAGCAAAGAGTGATACGAAGCTCTCAATTCCATCAGGGAGATCATTTATGAAGAGCAGGAAGAGCAGGGGGCCCAGCACGGTTCCTTGAGGGACCCCAGATGTTACAGCAAAGACTCTAGAAAATGATGATCCAACCCTGACGCGAAATGTTCTTCCTGTTAGAAAGTCTTCCACGACTGCAAGGGTGTTGCCAGATATTCCAAAGGATTGCAATTTTCTCAGCAATCGTTTGTGTGGTACAGAATCGAAAGCCTTCTGAAAATCGAGATACAGTATATCAGCTGACCCGTCCTTCTCTAGTATCTCACTGACAATGTCCATACATTCCAGGAGGTTCGAGACGCAGGATCTTTTTGGTAGGAAACCGTGTTGTTCATTCACAATCATGGGGGATACGTGAGCTAGAATATGGTTTCTTAAAAACCTCTCAAAGATCTTGGAAAGAACACACGTTAGGCTAATAGGGCGATAGTTGCTGGCTTGGGATTTATCCCCCTTTTTATGCAGTGCAGTGACATTTGCTTGCTTCCAGATTTCGGGAATCTTTCCGTCGTTGTAGCATTTTTGGAACAGTGCTGTGACTGAATCAGCAAACTGTTTGTTTTCGGCTAGTGTTTTCAAAAGCTTAGGGTGTATATCATCAGGTCCAACGGATTTCCAGATGTTAACTTTACGAAGTTGATCTTGAACTTCACTTGTATTGAATTTCAGGTCAAGAATCGTCTCCTTTGCGCTGTCTCCGGGTAGTGGGTCAGGTATTGAGGCCTGATCCTCCTTTACAAACGTGCTCTCAAAGAAAATCCCAAGTTGGTTAGCCATATCATGTGCTGAGTGGAGTTCATCCCCACTAGCATCTCTGATTCCAGAAATTGCAGCCCTAATCTTGCGCTTGGAGTTCATATAGCTGTAGAAAGCTTTTGGATTTATTTTTAGCTGGGCTGCTGCTTTATTCTCATAGCATATCATGAGCTGCTGTTGCTTCTTCTCGTAAGCACCCTGCTGATGTAGTGCATGATTCAGGTTTTTTGATGTCGGGTCGCTTTCAAAAATAGACCACAGTTTTTCTTTTAGCTTCCGTGCCTTGATTAGACATGGTTTGTCCCAGACCGATCGTGATTTTATTGCACCTGCACGATTTATCCTCAATTTGACGACTGGAACAGCTTCAGCAATGGTGTTGGCATTGGCCTGAATCAGATTCCAGTGCTCTTCAATAGTCAGCCGATACTCGCACATTCTCCTTTACAATGTAAGTGTATGATGTAGCACCCTTATCAGTGATAACAGGCAGAATGCTTGTCTTCATGAGGTTGAAAATCTTCAGCTTGGAATTATCAAACGCCTTTTGACTGTCTTCCTTCGATCTGTTGCTTTTATTTATAGTCGGGAAACTATCCAATATATCGACAATTTCATTGTAGGCCGTCTTCGCCTTGGCTATATGGTCGGGCATCAAGTTACAAATACAAGGGGTGCAGTACTGTTAGTGTTAAAACGAAGAGAGAGAAATTTGGCGCAAAACAAAAACAGATTTTCAGAAACTTTGACAAAAAAACAGATTACATATTAATATTGTTTCTTGTTACTAAACCTTTCTTCAGGAAGTTATAAAGTCAGAATAGTTGAAAGTGATACGGTCATAATTGTAAATACCGACTTTGATGAGATTAAAAAGGTAATATTTTTATTTCGTTTTTTTCCTCATTATTAAAAGTCACTTGCAATGATATACAGATGTTAACTTGCATAATATTGCATTAAATTATAAAGCTATATCGGTATATAGCTTATTTTCAGTTTGCCACAGTCAATATTTGATTTGTTTCTTCTGGATTTAAGATCTTATATCCGGATCCATCATTTACTAAAATGATGTTTTCCAGTGGGAGACAAACAGACCGACTGATAACATGAACAGTATTGGAGAATTTGGATGGGGCAAGACTTCTCCAGAAAGCTTTTACAGCAGCAGAAGCTACAAACCAACCACTCCAGAAAGAAAGACATGGAAATCATACTCTCCAAGATGGACCAACATACATAGCTTTCCTAAATATCAATCCCCTAAAAAGAAATCTCTTCTTGAAATTCCCAACTTCAGAGATAAAAAGCAGAATAGTCCGATGACCGATATCATGGAGAACTTAAAAAACCTGATACAATCACCAGTAATGGGTTTCCAAAAGTCACCAGCAGTCGACTTCAGCCGGACCCCTGGTAGTCGCCGGGCATTCATGCCTAGTTTGTCTAATGCATCGCTGTCTCGTCACCATTCGCCTGTGAAGAAACAAATGGCATCATTCTCTCTTACCCCGATTAAAGCAAAACTGAACCCAATGCAGTTGGGAAACTCTCGTGACCATCATGACGTATATAATCCTCCTGAGGGAACTGATGTTAGCTACGGACAGCCAAAAGAGAAGCTGAAGCCATTTTGCGCCCCTCCTCGTCCCCCTCTTAAGTGGACCGGGGAGCTCCCTCCCAAGGATGCCAATGATAACAAATACTCAAGAAAGGTTTTCTTGGGTGGCGTCCCCTGGGATATCAAAGATGAGAACCTTAAAGAAACTTTCGAGGTATTTGGAAGTCTGGCGGTAGAGTGGCCACCCAACAAAAATGGCCAAAAACCTAAAGGATATGTTTACATAGTCTTTGATGATGCCACCTCCGTTACCAACCTGCTAGAGTTTTGTCGATCTTACTCAGCAAGAGTATTCCGTGATGTCTCAGACGGTACCATGTACAAATACCATGTGCGATCAGAGAAAATGCATAGCAAGGAAATACAAGTCATACCATGGAATTTGAATGATGATACCAAAGTCATTGGTACTAAAGACAAGGTCAACATGCACCATCAAGTGTTTGTCGGAGGACTTCATGGGATGCTTACAGCGACCGGCCTTTCCAAGGTCATGAACGACTTGTTTGGCAATGTAGCCTATGTTGAAATAGACACCGACAAGTATAAATATCCTCTGGGTTCTGGCAGGGTGAATTTCTCGAGCTTGGAGAGCTATCAGAGAGCCATCCAAGAAAAGTATGTCCAAGTTCAGTGTATCTCCCCTAAGGTCGATAAAAGGATTCAAATAGACCCTTATATTCGAGAGAACGAAAATTGCTCCAAGTGCCAATATCCTGGTCCGATTTACTGCCGTAAGTGCCTTGACTACTTTTGCGAAGACTGTTGGGATTGGCACATGCGAAACTCCTCTACAAAGCACGAAAGGGTGTGTCGTACTCGAAACGGAAAAATTGTGTAACTCTGTGACTAAAACTATCTAATATATTAATCTCATTCGAATTTTCGCGATGTTTGGCAAAAATGTAATTAAATCTAAGCTAATTTATGTCAATTAAGAATTAATCCGTTCTGAATTGAAAAATGGCATTGTTTGTTGTAAAAATTACCTTATTTTAAGTCTTTAAGTGTACCTTACAAAATCGGACCCCCAAATTTGTCCCTCCATTTTATCATCCACTGCACTGCACTGCACTGCACTGCACTGCACCAACTGCACTGCACCAACTGCACTGCACCAACTGCACTGCACCAACTGCACTGCACCAACTGCACTGCACCAACTGCACTGCACCAACTGCACTGCACCAACTGCACTGCACCAACTGCACTGCACCAACTGCACTGCACCAACTGCACTGCACCAACTGCACTGCACCAACTGCACTGCACCAACTGCACTGCACCTGCACCAACTGTACTGCACTGTACTGTACTGCACTGTACTGTACTGCACTGCACTGCACTGTACTGCACTGTACTGCACTGCACTGCACTGCACTGCACTGCACTTCACTGCACTGCACTGCACCGACTGCACTGCACTGCACCAACTGCTCTGCACCAACTGCACTGCACTGTACCGACTGCACTGCACTGCACTGCAATGCACTGCACCAACTGCTCTGCACCAACTGCACTGCACTGTACCGACTGCACTGCACTGCACTGCAATGCACTGCACCGACTGCACTGCACTGCACTGCACTGCACTGCACTGCACTGCATTGCACTGCACTGCACTGCACTTCACTGCACTGCACTGCACCGACTGCACTGTACTGCACTGCACTGCACTGCATATTATGTACTAAGCAATTCAAGTATTTCTCAGCATTCACTGCACTGCAGTACACTTAGCGATATATCTGTAACCTAAAATCTTAATTCTTAGTGCGTAAATGGAATTCATCGCCATTAAAGTAGTACCTTTTAAAAAACCTGAATGAGTATTGAGTAAATATTATAATTATTATTATCATAGAAATAGCTTTTTTCCCTTGACAGTTTAGTGCACAGTATTGCGAATATATATTTACTATATCATATTGGGCATTTTTTAAATAAGTAAACATTAGTTTAATGCAACATTTTTAGCCTTTTAGTGTTCGTTTGACAACTCGTTTAATTCGTTTAGATGATCTTATCTTTTTGTTACTAAGTAGTATTATATCGCTTAAGATGAATAATATATAGATTTTTTACTCTAATTCTAGGTATTACTATAAGGCGATGAGTCAAATGTATAGTTGTTTTCATTATTATTTAATTTTCTATTCGAAGAAACTGCATGAGTGAACAAACGTAAACATAGCTTGTTTTGTTAATTGTAAGCAGATTGTTGTTCTTGTTACATTGCGCGTATCTCAAAGTACAGTTTCTAAATGACTGAATTGCTAAGGAAAAGGGGCCATTGTAACCATGGTTACCATCGTAACGATGTGAAGTTTATGCTCTGGTTGGATAAGGGTTAAGCACGGATTTAAGGAGTGCAAAGTGCCAAGTAGTAGGGGGTTGCTGGGCAGAGACAAGGGAGCCCTTGAAACGATCTTCACGTTCCAACTTTCAATTATAACAAAACATAGTATGAAGAATCAAAAGCAATGCAGAAATGTTCTGATAAAACCGTACTTATGAAGCTATGAGCTCACATGCAATCAAATTTTACGTAGCTTAAATATTCTCATATTTTATCGATGTTTTAAGAGGTTTACACTGTTACCCTGTTATAGGTTTTTTGACCCCTGTGTTTTCTTCCAAGTTTTAATTTTTGTGTTCAGATAATTCTACTCGAGTAGTAATTCTACTAATATAGCATAGTAGTAGTAGTAGTAATTGTCGTAGTATTAGTTGTAGTTGAAAAATTTTACCGTATGCTGTTACAATTAAATAAGCTTCTTTTATTGCTTTTTATTCTTTCAAACGTAATAATTCTCGTACTGTTTTTAGCTTATTAATGCATATCATCTTAAAGAAGTGTCATAAATTGGCTTTGGCCATTCAATTCAGATTACAGGTTTTGGTGTTTACACAAAGTCAAGTATTGAAAAGTTTTTTATTTCACCGTTTCTGAAACAGGAAATGTAATTATTATACATGTATATGAAACAACATTTATCTTTAAATATATTTGACAATGACATTTAGATACTCATATGATATGAGTCATATCACACTCGACTCTTTCGTAAAAACCATATTTTAAAGCTGAAAATGATCCAGTTGTGATTATTATCCCTTAATTTGAAGCCGAAATTTTAATTAAGGTGCGTGCTCAGTTACTCTTTAAGCTCACCTGCAATAAAAGATCGTCAAAAAACGTGGCCCAAGATTTTCAAAATCGAATAAAAAACGAATAAAAAATTCTCTAAGGCCTATCTCAAATTCTGGGTGATTGCTCTAAAAATATAGAAGATAGATTTTTAGACTCGATTTTCAGGACGCGCGGCCCCCTTCTCGCACTTAATTATTGTGTTTGTCTTGGAGCTGAACGAATGTCAAATATTTAATATTTTAGCTTATTTATTTATGTGTTTATACATAAACTTATCAATTATCATATTGTATCTTGTGATTATGAAGACTGTTTGCAACATATTTAATATTCATTCCAACATCTTAAAATTAGTAATAATACCGCTATTGTAAAAGTTTACCCAATACTTTTTGTTTCATTATTGAATTATGATACACGACTGGACACAACTGGATACACATAACACAACTGGACTCAGTATTGATGGAACAAAGGAAAATTAAAATGATATTATATATTACTAGAAAACCCGTGGTCACAGGGAGGAAGCTAATAGTAGTTTTTGTTAAGATACAGCCGATTAAAATGTTGCTCGCACTAAACAAAACGTAATATCAACAAAACCGATAAAAATGCCGTTCGCCAATCTTTGCACGTGCACGTGCGTGTAACAACCCTCGTTACTATGGTTACTATGCAACTTCTATTTGTTTACCCAATTTGCACGTGGGCGGTCGTACAGACATTATACAGCAGAAATATTGATATTATATTGAAATTGAAAAGCCTATAATAGTATAATTCCAACTGAAAAATAAACTTGATATCATTTATTTATTATTCATATTTTATTAACTAAATTTTTATAGCTTTGTACAACAAAGATATGGCGCCAACGAACAAGAGGGTAAAAAAACCTGAAGCAGAAGAGAAACGAGCTAAAGAGGAAGAGGAGACGATAGATCACCATACTGACAACGATGAAAACGATGATCTGAACCTCGAATCACAGGTAAATTGTAGATTAACGTGACACAGAGTTTTTAAATCTTTGGATTGATTAGTTTTTGCCTTAAGTTCGGTTACAAGAGGTTCTGTAATATATGTGACATGTGTCAGGACTATAAAACAAGACATATTAAATAAGAAGTTGGCTAATTAAAAATCGTATCAGAACCTTGATTCGCCTGATGATATGAGCGCATTTCTCAACATGATGCAGACGAACTTAGCTCAGAAAACTGGTGCAAAGCGCAAGCGCTCAGAACAGTTTCTACACGCTTCGGTGAAAGTTAGTTCTAAGAAAATGGAGGATATTGTCCATCGGCAAGGTAGATAATAGATATACTCTCTATGTTATATACATATAGACTATAGAGTCTCGTTGACATTACTCACGTATAATATTTCAATCTCGTATACAACCTTGTTCAAATTACAATTTAGAAAGAGTTTGATTGTTTAAACGTGAAAATCCAGGGACAGAACGAAGGAAACTTCAAGAGCAATATCAAGTGCAGGTCGACACTTTGATTCACACTTGGGAGGGTGAAATAGAGAAATCTAAGGAGATGGAAGAAAAACTGGCCAATACCTTTCGGACGCAACAGAAATTCTACACTACTCTCCGAGTCAATCAAGTCAGTCTATAATGACCATCTAGCTGGGCTCAGTATGATTGCTATCAAAATAAGACAATTTTTTAGTCATATATATATTTTATATATTGCGATAGGAATCTTCATTGATCCAGTTTCTCCCTGTTTATTTTGACATATCACAGGTAAAGATACTAAACGACTTAAAGAATCTTGCCAAGCAGTACAACACTGCATCAGAAGAGTTAGATAAACTTCACACAAACCAACAAGGCGATTTACCTGTATGTAATAATATTTTATTTTGTTATCATGTTGTAAAAATATGTTGACAAGTTCCAATTATCTTGTAATTACCCATTTTTTTATTGGTATTCAAGTTTAGGTCTGCAATGTGACGTCAATCCCTATACAGAGATACAGTATACATCTTTTAAGACTAACTCGGACCCAAATTGATTCACAAGCTCGTATTAAAAGAAACTCACATTTTTCTTTATTTCTAAAGATTTTTTGTTACAGGGCGAGTTGAAACGTGAAGTTTCTATGCTACACAAGAAATTTTTGATGGAGAGTCACAACGCTGAAGTTGCCAAAATGAAGAAAAACATGCAACAAATCATTTCTGCGTCCTTTTGATAGAACCATAAACTGACTGGCCGACTTATATTGATAGACGAAATGAATATCTCAATTTTGACGAACGTTTCTTTATTTTTGGGAACCATAGCAATGTTAAGACAAGATTAAAAGATTAATTATCATTTTGTACAATACTTTGTATACACCATATATATATATATACATATATTCTGTCAGTGACATTTAGTCTAGAGAGACATATTTTCAGCTATTTTAATATTATTTTCATTGTTAATATTCATAATGTTTAATTTGAATTTTGTGTGTTGAAACAACTTTTTAGTGTTTAGTGTTTACGTTAATATAAACTCATATTTTAATGAGATCTAATAAATAATTATTAAATCGACAAGGTTGACCTTTTAAAGAATTAATCATCTAAATTAACGTCGAATTAGACTGCCAATTTAAATGCTTCTTGCCTGTTTAGCGTTTATCGGTGATTGTGGAGGTGTCTTCGCATACAGAGTTAAATCTTGCTTCCAATCTATGAGAGTATAAGAGTACTTTAAATATTTAATCTCACACGGTGTCTATTTAGAAAGATATTTGAAATGGCCCAACCAGAAACTTTAGCATTAGAGCTTAGCCCGAAGGAGAAAATTATGGAAAAGATGTCGGTTGCAGCTATGCAGAATAGTATGGAAATGCCCTCGATGTCTGGTGTCTCACTTAACGTCATGTCAAACAAGGTAAATACTAAACTGATCACTAACTATTAACTAACTCCATTTCATTCACTAGCCATATGTAAAGTATATTCAAGTATATATCCCCGGGGTCAAATCGCCAAAATGCCTATACTTTAATATACCTTGATATACCCTAAATTAGGCTAGCCATATTCTTGGTTCAGATTGGCAAGATCAGCTTGTTTTCTGGTCTCCTGTACTCGTATATGATTTTCATCCAGTTTGGACAAAAAATGGCCGAGCTATGAGCCAAAAAACCATATACCCATATTTGGGCATACGGCCCAAATTTGAAAGCTTTTGGCCCATAAATTGATCAAATTTCAATATATTTGAATGAGACCAACTTCATATGGTAAGCCTAAACTAAATATTCTCTGTGATTTACAGCTCAACGGTAGTGAAAGTGATTTCATTAAAATTGAAATAACTCCATTAATTTTAAATATTTTTTTTTGGATTTTTCAGAATCGATTAAGAATCGCATTTCAACCTTATTTTGGGCGAAGTTTTTATTTAGGCCTCCAAAAAAATCGGGAAATAGGTATATTAAAGTTTATTAAGGTATCCGGGCACGGCCGGGTCCGCCGGGATTAAATCGGCAAAATACCTACATTTTGATCAAATTCAATATGGTCAGCCTCCCCCGGCCCCCACCGATTCCCATAGTGTGGATTTAATGTCAACCCAATCGCCTGATCCCACGTAATGAATAAACATTTGGCAAAGATGTCGGTTACAGCTATGCAGATGGAAATGCCCTCGATGCAGATGTCTGGTATCGCACTTAACACCATGAGCAAGCAGGTAAATAATATTTTTACATATCGCAATAACTCATCAGATGTGGAATTATTAATAAATATGATCTGAAAGAAATTATGCGCAACGGAGTTAAAATGACAGAGTTATCAAGCGTAATGAATAAACTCGTTATGCTAATATGCTAGATTCCTTGGTCATCTGAGAAGCTAGAGCTCTTCAGGACAAGTGCAATTTTAATGGCCAATTTGACTCGATCCAGTAATTTTTAAATGACTTAAAGAATGAACCTTCGTTTGAAGAAAATGAACACAATTATTATTTGATTTTAAATATTCCTCGTATGAATGGTGATCATAGTAAATCATACGAGACAAAATTATCTCGATCGGGCACCAGCACTTAGTGACTGAGAAATACGCCCAAACGTTTGCACGGTGACTTGTTGGCCACCAGCACCCTTAGATAAGATCTCTCGATTTTGATTCCTGACGTTTTTATATTATTCGGGAGGAATATTGTTCTGATGTTCCATTTCAAAGAACTACAGGGGTTTGAAAGACGAAGTAGTATGTTTGCTGCCCATCCGAAAGTCAAACACGGAGTATCAGAAATACATTCTAGAGGTAGATATTATTGACTTTGTTGACATTTCATTTTTCGATAAATTACAGTCAGAGGCTGATTATTTAGAATACCCAATTAGAAAAAAAGTTTAAAACCTGTATTTATGATAACAATTAATATAATAGCAAAAAATAACAATTATTACAATAGCAATTTAATCATTTTAATCATAATCAGTCATTTTAATCATAATCAAAGAAAAGGTTTGTAGAATGTAACTATCTGGGTCTGACTCGACTGCTATTTCTGTTTCAGGTTCATTTTCACTAAAAGGGCATGTTGATCCAGCTGTAGGGCTCGTTGCAAGTTCTGGAGACATTGAAAGACTGTCCGATGTATCTGACATACCTAAAGGTAATCTGAAGAAGCACGAATGAATTTTATCTTTTCTAATAATAAATTACACGAATAGATAATACATACATAGTATAGGAATTAGGAGGGCCCATTAGAAGTTGATTCCATGCGATATATATGAGAACAATAGCTCTTGTCTAGGATTTTTTTATAGTGTGCAAGCGTAAAACAGTATCGTAGACCAACTTTTGGAAGAAAAATACGTGGTTGCGTCAATTATAGGCCACTCCGTAGTTGACTAAACTCTCTCCAGTTTTTAGCATGAATCAAAGTTACACATTTCATTTTCGTTGGTTTATAGAATGATGGAAATATTTCATTTATCGAATTCAGGGTTTTATCGATATTATTAGTAGAGAAGATATGAAACTAAATTTCAGAATTGGTAAGACAGACTGAGTCAAAAGATTCAATGGATTCGAATGTAAGTTGAAATATTTTCGGCTAATTTATTCGCTGTGTTCGTATAAAATCTAATATAGCTTTGATAATTAATATGTTGGTTGTTGGGGACTGGCCCGAAGTGCCAGCCAATAGTCACTCAAAATATATATGACACTATTATAGAAACCTGCTTATCTCAAATATATATATATATTTGAGACATTCAGTGAAACAGTAAAACACGAAATTCACATATATATATATAGCTGGTACGTGCGGACAGTGTATTCGTGAGTCATCGAAAGAATCAAACTATCGGTGGCATGCTTGTACACAATAAGTACCGTGCCAGTGGAACTTTAAACTGTGATAATGAGAGAGAAACAACTGCAAGCCAGATCCAGGAACCAGACTCCGAAAGTCTAAGGGCGGTTCCCGGGGCTGTCGACCCAGGGTGCCATGCTTGTGGTAAATGTTATGTTTGTAAGCAAAATTTCCTGTCCCCCTGTTCCAATTTTAGTAGTCACCATTCTAAACAAGTTTTCCCTATAACTAAGTATATATCTTGTCAGAGTTATAACCTCATTTATTTAATGGAGTGTAAGACTTGTAAACAGTCGTATGTCGGTTATACTACCTCAAATCTCCCTAAGAGATTCTCTAACCATAAGAGTCACATAAAGAAAGGTATAAGAAGTTGTAAATTAGTTAACCATTTTTTAGATATTGATCATGATTTAGATTTTAGTACCATAGCCTCCTATAATTCCTCACTCAGTAAGCACCTTTCTGTCATTATAGTAGACGCTTTAGTATTTGAGCCTAATATTAGTAAAGCAGACAAAGAAAAGGCTATAAGCTAGAGAGGGGTTCTACCAGACCCAATTGAAAACCCTTGAACGGTTTGGGGGTATGAACACCCTTGATAGTAACCATCTACTTTTTAAATCTGCCGGAGCTTAGTTTTAGTTTTAGTATATTTTGTAGATTTTATTTAGTTATACCATTATTCCAGAGACGTGCATATAACATTTTTTACTTAAGTATAAATTTTACAGGTTTTTGTTGTGATTTTAAGTGATTTTCCGAGAATCAGTTATCAGTATTTAGATAAGAGATAAGATAAGAGTACATTTTTAACGGCTTTCAGTTTCTTTTTTAAATTTCAGTTCATCAGATTTTCCCACTGCTTTTAGTTTGTATTTATTCTCAATTGTATATGATTCGTATTTGTTGTAGTTACTTTAATGATATAATTTCTCAGAATTGATGTAAATAAACGATGCAAAGACTTTCGAAGATCTAATCACAACCGCTTTCTTTTATTGTGTAGAAGTCCAGCCATGAAATATATATATATGATACAATTGTTATTTATCAAAAGTCAAAACTCACAAATTTATCTATCACAAACTTATCTATCGCACTTGTTATATTATATTGTAATGGTGTTTTTCATACTTTCTCCGAAAGTGAAAGAAGATCTGAGAAAGGAATAGAGATCGGAAATAGTATGATTCGCTAATCCCATCTTTCTGTTGCAGAATGCAAGGCGGAAAAAGTCTGTGCCGCAATATGAGAATACCTACCGTATGGAACCAACTAGAAAACCTACACGAAAAGAACTTACCAACCTTTTTGAGAAAGTATTAAGTGATATTCCATCTGAAAAGGCCAACAGTCCAGACTTTCATACCGGGGTCAAGGTAATTTCAGAAGGACTTTCGTCAAAACTGTACCAAATCAAAAAGTCGAAAATCAAAAGTTTCAGCAAATAACTAAGAATAATTTTAAATTTTTTCCAGATTCGAATATACGATTTTCTCGAAACTTTTCAGATAGTTATATAGTCATAAGACGTATAATCTGTGACCGTTTGGGCGAATTTCTTGTGTGATATCTCAAATTAGTTATAATGTCTTGTAGCCATACTAGTGTAACCCGTGCCTACGGTTGGGACTTCACTATCGCAGATGAAATACAAAAGTATAAGCCCACCTATTATATTCGAAAACACTCATTACATTTTGCTCAGTAGAAACAGTAGAAACAGTCCGCAATTTAATTCTGAGTGCCCCTTACGTATCTAATAGTGATACTTGATAAGCAATCTTGAGGCCCTCCTGCCAAATTACCTAATTATATAGCAAATCTGTTGGGAGGGGAGAGGGGGCGAGAGTGGGAGAGGGGAAGAGTACGTGAGACACTTTAATATCACATTTGGGTCACAAAATGATCAATTAAACCACCGGCCGATTGAAAAATCCTTAATCATTTGGCTTCGTCATATACTAGTAAGCACTAATAAGTCCCAAATCTTATCACGTTTTATCATGTTATATTGTCACATACAATTTTAACATCAATTTCACACTGATAAGCACTGATTAGCCATGATTAAGGCCATGATTAAGGTCATGATTTAGGCCATGATCAAGGCCAAGCCACAAATCTCATGACTGATAATAGAATCGTCTCATTTCACTCTTAATTCGACAGCAGGATTTATAAGCAAGTTAATTTATTTTCAGTTAGGACAGGATTTGGCGGACGAAGTTATAGCTGAATGTCACAACTTAGAAGTGGAGAGGTAGGATTCGAATTTATCTTTGTACGTAACGCGCAGGTAAGTAAGCGCACCAAATTTGTATTTTGTTATGAAAAGACAAAGTGCTGTCCCTCACCATGACAGAAACTCTGCGCGCCTAAGACTCTGAAGTCTTTTACTAATTCACTCAGAGTGATGACTGATGTTCTGATCAACAGAAAGATTAAAAAAGGCCGATTTTTAGTTGAAAAGAAACCAACACTCAACGACAAAACAGAGTTGAACAATCCACAATCTAACACAGTTTTTAGTTGAGTGACGTGTAAATAGTAATATTTTCGTTTAAATTTCACTCCTCTGCAGCTGTCCATTAATTTCTTTTATCTCTTTTAATCTATTATCTCCTGTACACGTCAAGCCATTCGTTAATTTTCAGCCCTATTTGATAAATTGTATGTTCATATTTGCTCCGATTTCGTTAAAAACTATTTTACAGTGGATAACTATTTTACAGTTATGGACACGTTCATTTGAGTTTGAGGAAATTGGTAAACAAAAATAATAGCGTTTTCGACGATAGTGGCTTAGTTTTGACAATTATTAACTTAGCACGTTCAGAAGTTCTGAACATTAGCCATGTAACCCATACTCCCATATGCACTGCTCAGAAAGAAAATCTATTGTTGTTAGGCACTATAATGTTTTAAATGTCACATTCTGTGTGACTTAGTTAACTGCTGCACTGCAGTTGTCTATTTATCATTCCTTGGTCTGAAATATAGTAAATTAGGTCAATCTAACAATTATGATACAACATTGGTTAATGGGCACGGATCGAACGGTTACAAGGCAATATTTGGGTAACTTTGTCACACTCATGATACCATACCTCTATTCAACTGTGAGGTGTCCTAAAGACCTTTTCAACTTATTATTTGATGGTTTCTCTACCAATCATAGCCCTAAAATATGTTGTTTTGAATAGTTAGCTAATACAGGCACTTGGTTATTGGGAAATGAGGTTAATTCTGTCACAATATATATGAAATTTTAAATTTTGGGCGAATTATTTATATCTAATTTTGGTTTGAAAGGTGGGAAAACTTTATATGATGACAATATAGTTGATGCAAGTTAAGCTCAGTTCATGTTTACATTGTCACAAAAAATTATGCGAAATCGTAAATAGATTAAAAACAATGATTATAGAATGAAATAGTTTCTTATAATAACTCTTATAATAACTGATGTGACAAAGTAAACATGTCTTGCCTCTATTTTGAAGATCTATAACTCTATCAGAATTCAACATTCTTTCAGAAAAAATTGGTAGAATATTGTCCAGAACATCAGAGCTTGAGTTTAACAATTTTAGGTTAAATTTGTCAAAGTCACTAAAAATGTGACAAAATTAACTTTTCATGCCCCAACAATTTTAAGATAGTGTTTAAAAATTAGCATAGGCTGCTTTATTACCTATATAAATCAATCCAAACTACAAAAAATTATATGTTAATGTGATGACGATTACCTAATTCTTATAATAACTGATGTGACAAAGTAAACATGTCTTGCCCCTATTTTGAAGATCTATAACTCTATTAGAATTCAACATTCTTTCAGAAACGATTGAAAGAATATTGTCCAGAACATCAGAGCTCAATTTTAACAATTTTAGATAAATTTGTCAAAGACACTGAAAATGTGACAAAATTAACTTTCCATGCCCCAACAATATCAAGATAGTGTGTTAAAATTGGCATAGGATGCTTTATTACAGGTATATTAATCGATCCAAACTACGAAAAATATCTTTTAATCTGATGACGATTTCCTAACTCTTAAAACTTTATAATAACTGATGTGACAAAGTAAACATGTCTTGCACCTATTTTGAAGAAATATACCTCTATTAGAATACTATGTAACTTTATCATCAAAAAAATTTCGATAAACTAGTTATTTTGCCAGCATAATTATGATAATTTTTTTGTGACGAAATTACCCTATTTTTGACCATGTTGCGGTAGTTAAATTGTGACACTGTTAACATACCACCTGATAATGATTTATGTGACTGGTGCATAGTACTAGCAGTGTTGTTTGATCCATAGTACGTAATATAAGGGGTTTAATTAAGCTGGCATATCATTATTTGTTCAATTCCACACATGTTCAGATATCATCAAGATTATGTGACAAAGTAAACTTGGTTGTACCTTCTGTGTTTTAATTCCTCACGACTATATGATATGATAACAATTCGCAGCACTTCCAGGCCATCAAATAAACCAACACTACTCAGCATTGCTTATCAGGGTGCCCTAAACATTCATCACATATTTTCTTTAATGTGTGACATAGTAAACCTGAGTGCACCATCTAACGAAAAAAGTCGTCAAATATGTAGGTAATGGTCATATGTATCCATCCGATCAACTGGACACTCAAAAATTTGGTCAAAAACGGCAGCAAGGGGTCCATATTTACTCCGTCACATGTTTATAGTGTAACAACTGACAATGTAACCATTTCCGTGCCGGCCGTATTTAAGCGATATCTTATCACCTGATATCGTTATGTGACAAAGTTAGCCTAGAGGATGAGACGATTATCCTAACCATCAAGGGTTTATGTAATTTCATAGTGTGACAAAGTCAACTACACTGTGCCTTTTAATAGGGTCACTTATTTTTACCAATATCCTCAAACTCAAATGAACGTGTCCTTATATATTATGTTTGAAATATATTTCGTCGTCAAATTTTTAATGTAAATATTGATCGTTATAATTGAATTAATACTATTTCAGAATATGAGTATGACGTAGAAATGTCGATACTTTATTCAGCTATTTATTTCCATTAGAATCTGTCTTCACTGGTTGTATTCAGAAACAATCAGAAATTTGAATGAAAGAACTATCAAATTAAATTCATGTTTTACTAGCCTGTCACGTGACCAACACAGTTTTTGCTTATAACTCCTCAGGATCAGGGAAGCGTTTTAACCAATGAATCAGTTTCGAAAAATGTATTGCACATTCACACTTTGCTACTTTCATGAGCTCAATACCCTTATTAATAAAAAAATCGAAAATCCTTGCAGAGTCCGGTCTCTGGTCCCACTAAATCACTCGCCCAGCTTGGCGAGTGATTTAGTGGGACCAGGGACTGGACTCTGAATTTAACCGATTGTATTATACAGTACAATATACAACTACAATTACAAGGCCAACGACCGTGCTAAATCACTCTACAGTCGATCTTCGATATTTTTCTAGAAGAGCCCCCGACATGACAGTTGAGAGTGAGACCAACTTGAATTGATGTATTTTCGGACACTGATTCCGAATCACCCCCCATGACATCGGGTTAAAATGCTCCCCTGGCGAGATATTGGCGAAAAACTGGCTCGATCACGTGATATAACCATTTAAGGAAGTTGGTCCAATTTCTCGTTAGGGTTAGGGTTTCAGCATATGCTTTTGTTAGAGATTGGGTTAGGGTTGGGATCAGATTAGAGGGCTAGGATTTCGAATAGTCATTCAGGGCCACCAAGAAAACGTGTCTAAAAAGTCACGTGACAGTCGTGTGTAGAGTGATAAATCAGGCCAAGGAGCATTATTAAGGGTTTCGGGGAAGCGTAACTCAAAATGTAAATTCTTAACCAAGTTTTTGCCAGGTACCGGTTTGTGTGCCTATCAACAGTTATAAGTCGAGAGGGAACCAGCGCTTACCAGGCTAGCAGACTACTGTCGGACCAGGATAGAGATACCTGGGAGGAAGCGAGTCTGAAACTTGCTAATGTTAACATCCATCTCCAACTCTACTGTGTTTATCTAGACTGAATCTAAGCATGCCATCAATGTTTTCATCATCAGATTTAAAATTCTATGCTTTTTCTGCTCTTAGGATTTTCATAATTATTCAAGTCCAAGATCATTAGACCACCATGAAACTGGTGGAAAGGTTTGCTGATGTTTCCCCGTCAGAGGATATTGTAGTTAAACGTTGATTGTGAAAAACAGATATAATATGTAAATGTACTACAATTCGTATTTGTTTTATACACATTTGACTTGATGAACGATCATACTACATAGATTTGGATACTGACGAGGAGGTGAACCATATTTGTTTGGACACAAGACAGTGATACTGGGTTTTGATTGGCCAATTCTGCAATACCGTTGGTTGTTTACTGTTACAACCCAGTCAGAAAAATATGGTTAAGGGGGGGGGGGGGGGGGGGGGGGGGGGGCCAATGGATATTTTTTTGTGAAACTTGATTTCGAGATAGCAGTTGACCAACAAACTAGGACCAGTGACCGAACTTTTGAGGGGGTCCCGGACCCTAACCGCCAAACGGTGCCTGCGGGGCAGCCACGCCCATATTTGGTCCAAATTAGGCCCAATTTAGCCAAATACCCTGAACATGCCCAAAACCCAAATTTTAGGTGCTCTACTTGTAGCTAGTGGTCTCCTGAACTCGTATATGAAATTTCATCAAGATTGGACAAAAAATGACTGAGTTATGAGCCAAAAACCATATGCCCATATTTGGGCATACGCACCAAATTTGGTAGATTTCGTCCCATAAATTGGTCAAATATCAATATTTTTCACTGAAACTTACTTTATATGAAAGGTAAGCCTAAACTACATATTCTCTGTAAGTTATAGCTTTATATCTGTTTAAATGTGGATACTAAGGCGAAAAGACCACAAAAAATGAACTAAATTGCCCATATCTTGGTTCGCGATATTCGCGGAATTGATCTCATTAAAATTGTAACAACTCGATCAGTTTTCAAAATTTTTCCATGAAATTTTCGGAATCGACTCGAAATCGCATTTCCACCTTAGTTTGAGAACAGATTTTTGATTTAGGCCTCCAAAAAAATTTGGCGGCCAAATTCCAAAATTTTCCCGGAGAAATTCAGAATTTGGCCGCCAAATTTTTTTTGAGGCCTTAATCAAAAATCTGTTCTCAAACTAAGGTGGAAATGCGATTTCGAGTCGATTCCGAAAATTTCATGGAAAAATTTTGAAAACTGATTGAGTTGTTACAATTTTAATGAGATCAATTCCGCGAATATCGCGAACCAAGATATGGGCAATTTAGTTCATTTTTTGTGGTCTTTTCGCCTTAGTATCCACATTTAAACAGATATAAAGCTATAACTTACAGAGAATATGTAGTTTAGGCTTACCTTTCATATAAAGTAAGTTTCAGTGAAAAATATTGATATTTGACCAATTTATGGGACGAAATCTACCAAATTTGGTGCGTATGCCCAAATATGGGCATATGGTTTTTGGCTCATAACTCAGTCATTTTTTGTCCAATCTTGATGAAATTTCATATACGACTTCAAGAGACCACTAGCTACAAGTAGAGCACCTAAAATTTGGGTTTTGGGCATGTTCAGAGTATTTGGCTAAATTGGGCCTAATTTGGACCAAATATGGGCGTGGCTGCCCTGCGGGCACCGTTTGGCGGTTGGGGTCCGGGACCCCCTCAAAAGTTCGGTCACTGGTCTTAGTTTGTTGGTCAACTGCTATCTCGAAATCAAGTTTCACAAAAAAATATCCATTGGCCCCCCCCCTTAATCTCCTCAAAAGTACCCAGATGGCAGATTTAATATCGATAGTATGTTTTGATAACTATAGTTTTAGCTAAGTTCGCCAATTTACTCATTGTATCTACCTAATTTTATGAAGAGGTGTGAACTAAAAGATTATTAGTGCTGTTCAATTTTTGACATTTCGGATACAATAACAAATAAAATGATTTTATTGAGGAAACGGAAGAAAATTATTAATAATTTATAAATTTGATTAACAATAAAAGGTTTTTCAAGTTGAAGAGGAATTTGATATCTTGAAAATAAAAAATGTAAGCTCATAATAAAGACAATGATATTTTAAAAAGATCTATCTGTCCGATGCAAGTCACATGGCATATTGGATCACCATCAGTGAGAATTAGAACTTCTTAAGCTTGAGTCTTCATCGATTACGAAACATAAACAGCAACAAATTCCAGTTGGCAGTTCATCCTAAAAAATAATCAAATAAAAACATTGTGGTCACCTGGATTTTGAAGCTAAATTCCTATTAACATTTAAGCCAGTTTCAGTTTTCCTGGACAGTTTTAACATACGCTAAACATACGTTGTACATGCAATGTACATACATAAACATACATAAATTACCTAAAGTAATATATAGTCCGAAGTTAAAGCCGTGTTCAACTTGGATACCTAAAAAGTCAAGTAATAACAAAGTCGAATTCAAGTTCTTCTTTACAAGGGGACGTTGCCGAACAAGTAAGAAACTGACTCTCCATTGTGTGTTCTTCTGATAGCTTCACCAAGGATGGAACTCACATCGATCGCCTGCAAACAGTACAATATGACTATCATTTCATTTAGTCATCAGTAAAATCCTAATTTATCTATTTCGCCCAAGTTTGTTGGAAATTTAAAATGTCTGCTGATAAAATAGTAGTTGGGGATTAACGCGACTCTTTAATGACGACTAGTAGTAGTGGACTATGGACAGTTCCTAGCTGACGAGTGAACAGTTCCTAGCTTGTGGTTGCTGCTCTATTTAAAATGCAAGGTGGAACTGGGTCGCCAGATGTACATGGTACAGCAGGGTGTCAGAATTATTGGCGTGTTTGAAATTTTATGTGTATTTTATGATGAAATCAATATTTTTCGACGGGTCATAACTTTACTTCTGAATATCGAAATTACAAAATTCAAAAACTGGTCTGTAGACAATCGTCTGAACTTTTTCAGAATTTTAAAATTTTGTGTTGATGTACCTCAAAACCCATAATTTAGGCCGTTATTTAAAGGGTCGATTCCATACTTGGTTAGATTTACGAAGGAGTAAGGGATTTATGTGTATTTTTTTTGGTGAATTTTTTCTGAAATTATTCTTTAGACTAAAGTGCACAGCTCTTCAGGCGATAGCGAAACACATCGAAAACTATAGATTTTATAAAAGCTCTCTTTCTCCTCTAACTGACCCAATAAAATATAGTCGTACATGTATAATGGTAAAACCTTAAGCCGCTGCTATGTTGGCATTGCCATTACATCTGCCGATTCACAATAGAGCTCATCTGCAACATGGGAGGGGGGGGGGGGGGGGGGTTTCACTGCCCTTTTTTACACTACACTTTCGCCTTTTTGGTGTATGGTGAAGTAAAAAGGAACACTTTGAATTACACTTAACAAAATTATCTTCTAAAGATCTTCTTTTTTCCTATTATTTTCCAATCAGTCTTCACACAGTAAATTTCCAAATGGAAAACGTACCTTCGGTATTATATCCCGCAGTGTACAGGTTTTTATTGCAATGAAGATTGAAGATGTAGCTCGGTTTGCCAGAAAAGTGCTCAACTGCAGACAAGCAGGAGCATTTCATTTCAATTCGTATGCATGCCTATTTCAAATAATAAGCTAACTAGTATTGTTTTGCATTGGGTGCACACATTATGTATATGGTCTATGGCATGTACAACACTGCACAGAATATAATACCGCATTTCAGAGGTAGATCTCAATCTATCCTTAGCAATGCGAACAGAGCTTCATCACTGGTACACTCTCGATTTAGAATCTAGCATGGAAACAAAGGACTATTACTCTCAGATGGATCCTAAATTTACATTGATCCAGATCTTTCTTCAGTTCACTTATGCCAAATTAACCGCGCGAACGTTGCATGCTTTTGATTGTAGGTGAGGGTAACGCGCGCCTAAATGCGCAAAAGTTATGTGGATTTTAACATAAATTTCATTGTCGCGTCATCCATTTGGTCAGTGCTGATGGCTTCCTGGACCTCCAGTAGACTTACATACCGAGTCACGTTTCCTCTGTTCAAGTTAAGGGCTGAGCCATTCATTGGCAACATTAAGAGCCCGAGAGAACACATACAGCTTTCATTACGGTGAACCATCGAGACTCGAGATAGTACATTAGTAGAGGGCAGAGGCACTTCTTCTTTGTGAAGCCATGCGTCATAAGTGATGCATAGGAAACGGGTTTTTAAATCCCCTGTGCTGAATGTACGTTACATTGTACAAACCAGATCATAGACTCTTATCTTGAGTCTCGGCGTAGTGGTGAATTTCCCGTTACCTCATACCGGTAAATGCAACGATACATGTTAGGTCCAAGTGCACTTAGTCTACTAGAAATGTCATCAACAGTAATAGAATATTCAGCTTAGTACGGATATATTTTTCCCGCACATTACAATTTGGTAATCTCACGACCACTGTCATCAGTAATACTCAAGTTAACCGAATGTATATAATTCTAATTTTCGGAGGACCTCCACTGTTTTTAAAAGAATAACCGGAATTACTGAATTTTAAATATTTGATTCGATTTACTTTTTCATAACATTTTAGAGAACACAGTTTTGAACACAGTACGGTGAAAGGATTAGCTATCTTGTATCGTGAAACATACCAAACAAGGATATACTTAGTAAAAATTAAAATAATACTGTAAGTATCAACCATGTCGCTTTTCGAACTCCCAATAAATTAACGATCAGCGCTTCATCATCATTATTAAGATTTTAGTTACATACGGAGTAATAAACATAAGTTAATAACTTATCAGTGCAATAAATTAATATGACCACACGCTGTGCTGGAAGCCAAAAGTTTTGAACGTGGTTTGCTCACAAGAATTTACATTGTTATTTGAAAGACATGCAAACAAAAATAAGCCCATAGTCCATAACGAGGTGCAACGTCAAATATGAGTGCGAATAACCGGATTAAAATTTCGATGTTTAATTTTTTCAATATTTTATTAAACTGCTCATAATTTCCAGAGTTACTGGAATTCTAAAAAATACTTTCAGGACGGCTAAAAAGTACAGTCAGACCTCTATTAAATGGGCCTCTAATCTCTATCAGTATTAAGCTGTTTTGCATAAAATTCCGCATGAAATGGAATTTTAACTGCACCGCATCGTCATGACATTCAAGCCTTTAGTGTCTGTCATACGTTTATAAGCTCGGCAAATTGATTTCTTCTATGCTACCTCTACTATAGCTATAGCCTGACCACGGTCTTAAGTCGGTCACGTGGTTTTCAACCTTAATCTAGCATCCAACTAACTGTGTGTAGTACAGGTCTAACGGAGTCCGAATTTATAACAAAAAACAAGTTATATGCGCGGAATATTGACGTTACACCATAATCCACTACATAAACACACTGCTCATGCTGTGATGTATGTAACAGCCTAAAACAGCTGATCTCATCGGCTCTCAAAATCTAGTTTAAATTCTGAAGTTTCTTTACACACCGCGTGTACGGTGCAGAGAGCTTTTCTATTAAAGTGCAAGAACAGCCCCTTTTAAGAAATAATAAGTAGCCTGGTATTATTTTCTTTACATTAAAATGGCACACATTTCAATTAGCTTTTTTGAAATCTTCTTGGTTAGTCATTCATTAAATTGCAAGGATATAACTTCTGCAAAGTCCGTTTCAAATTTTTCCCAATAAGTTGAATAGTTTACTTGTTGTAATCATTCTGTAGGTCAAAAAATAAAAATAATATGAGCTATAATTTTTGGTATGATTTTCAAGAAGATTTGGAGTTCGCCAATTCAGACATGTAAGCAAGTTTCAGCCTATATTCTGAAGCATCTTAACATGGTAATATCTTAGAGAAACTTGCACTCTTTTCATTCTTTACATTATTTAAATTCGTCAGACAAGGCTGCCAATGCAACTTTTGAAGTTTCATTACATATGCAATAAGTAAAAGGCTGCGGAAAAACTTCAATCTTTTATCAACGCATCATAATTATAAATTAATTTATGCATAAACTAACTTCAATTTCAGTCGCTTTGCTCTCATTTTTCTTCGAGAGAGTTTGAGATAATAAAGTTTAAAGGACACAGGTGGTTGAAATATTAACAATTCAAGACAATTAAAGCGGGATATTTTGAAGAAGATAGCTAATACTTTCGCCGTTGTGTGTCCGTCGAATTGCCTCCCCAATGATCGAGCTGACGTCGATTACCTGAAATGCATGCTAGATTAATTTGTACAAACAATCGCATCATTCACAGATAAACGCCTCAGTCGACCGAGATTATGAGCCCTTTAAATTTCAACGAAGTGACAAAGTCACGAACGAGACACAAAATTTCTCACGAGATTTCTCAGGCAATGGGTCAAAGTTAATAAACTTTCATAAGGGGCGCTCTGGAGAAAGGTAAATTAAATATCACACATATTTGGAAGCGTCTCAGGTTACGTCAGTGACAGAGAGAAAGAGAAAATATCTAGACATTTATGAAGTTTATAAATTAGAGTTTTACAGAGTTTTAACTCGTTATCAGCAGCAGACAACTGACCACTGAATAGGATAATGGTCGGACCGACTACCTCCCGCTAATCTAATGAAGTCCTGGTCCCAAAAAACCAGGTTATCTGATACACACTTATTAGTTTCTCCTGTTCCTCTTAATTTCCCGATCCATGACTCGTGCCGAAGGCACAAAAGAGTCAAGGACAAGGGTTAGCGATCGAGGTTTTTTTTGTATATGGTAGCTTTGCGACCGTGCCTGCGAGCGTGCGAGCGTGCGTGCGTGCGTACGTGCCTGCGAGCACTGTTATCGCCCACGTGACTACCTGCGCAAAGTTATTTTGCGTGATAATCTGAATTATATAATTGTTGGCGCGCGGCGCTGAACCAACCAAGTACATTATTAATTTCATCATGTACGTATCCCACTAGGCACTAATTGATAGCATATTATTATTATTTTGAGTTAGTATTACTATGTTGCACAGATCCGTGTCAGGTTGCATAAACAATAAACATATGGTTACATAGAAATATACACGATTTTCAAATTCAATATAGAATTATATTAACTGGGCGGCGCTCGGCAGTCGGCATGTCACTTCGCCATATTTGCATGTTTATATAAACAGAAAAGACTGGGCCGTCCCCAGGTTGTATGGAATATGATAAATACGCCATCACGGATCGGGAAATTGAGCGGCCATCCACAAAAGAAAAGCGGCCGCATTTCTTGTTTCTTGTTTCCTATCATTTCATATTTCCTCTAATTCCATATTGGATGCATCATATTTCAAGTTTGGTTCCCAAGACTGTTGTCTTGTGTCGTACCATATGGAAATTATAGAACTCCTGACAAATATCATGCCGGCACTCGTCGGGTCAGAAGTTCTACTTCTATAACCTAATTAGCGCCACTTCTACCAGATTTCTTTTTAAGCTTAAACTTTAAAGACACGATGACCATGTTTAATAGTTCACAAATTTAATGAAACGGAAACGAACTCAAAGTCACTGGCAAGTTTCCAGATTTACTAAAAGCAATTTTAACAATGTCACAGAATCTGTGCGCAATGAATTTTCCGTAAGAAGAACATTTACACCACTATCCGAGAATCATTACTACACAACATCTGTCGACAAATTGTTCGGATATTTTAATGCACCGGGAAAGTTGCTGTTCTAGGTTGCAGGGACGTAGCCAGGATTTTTCTTTGAGGGGGGCTGTCGGCGAGCGAAGCGAGCCGACGCGTCCAATCTAGCTGCGCAGCGAGCGAAGCGAGCAAGCTGTGGCAGGGGTCTGGGGGCGCAGCCCCCAGCGGGGTCCAGGGGCGGAGCCCCTTGGCGGGGGCTAGGGGGGCGCAGCCCCCCGGAAATTTTTTGCGAAACAGGGTGTTTTAGACGACATTTGGCATTAAAGAAATTTGTAGGACAGCAATAAACTGGGATTGAAAAGAATCAAGTACTCACGTAAATTTGGTAACTTCACAACAGCAATCTGCATTCTCCAATCAGAATTTACGACTTACTCAGGCCTCATCGTCTTAAGATTTTTACATTTCCTACGGTCTAGGGGACACTATTGACTATAATTATAGAAGTCTTCTAGAATGTTTGCTTGGATTTAATGACATATATTTACTAATCCACAGTTCAAATCTTTGACTGACTGCAGTCATAAACACAGCCCAGTTACCAGGCGACCATGGGGACTAGGGGGCTTATCTTTTTTCTGGGGTTCGATTTTTTCCGGGGGGGCTGCCGCCCCCCTAGCCCCCCCCCCTGGCTACGTGCCTGCTAGGTTGTTCTCATCTGGACATTGTTCGGAGGGTGTGGATTGCTGAATGCTGGTCTTATTATAGAATTTCCTTATAGTATTTTCTTATTGACTGATACGTACATAGGTTACACCTCACCCATCTAGGGCAATTAGTTTACTAAAATAGTTTTAACTGGTATTTAAAACAATAACGCGACAGAGTTTTTACTTTTCATTCAACGCGTGACGGGACTAGACCTCTGACTTTGAAGTTTTTTAAATAACGTTATTAACGTACGCAAGATGAATATTAACTTACTACTACAGAATAATTTCATGCACATTTAACACGTAACAGCGTCCGTAGCACAGTTAAAGTATTCCCACAGCACAAAGATCTCAGGCCAGTTGGACATTTTCCAATCTAGAAAAACACGAAGTTTTCCTGACAATGGCTGCTAGCTCTCTCAATATGCATGTCACCACGACACCTGTACCTAGGAGATATAATGATATGCTTGCTACGCGCGATGTTAGTCCAAACGGAACTAATCGATTAATTGAGTAATTAATGAGATTATCAAATTTCGACCTCGTGCCACTTTTCCGGACGGTAGTCCGAATACAGTGCCAACCAATAACAAATTGTTTCTTCCGGGATGTCAAACAAATGTCGTGGTTTTGTAATGTGTACCTATATAAAACAGCTTGAAAAGTCGCGTCTCATCTCTACATCAAAAGCAATGATAACACTCTGAAGAGTTCCCCAGAATTAGTAGCAACAGAGATATTCATTATTCACTCATCGAGGCCGAGCTTACATATTTCTTGCCAAACAGAGCTATTAATGCTTTTCAAAAACAAATTTACAACGAATTCTTCATGTAGTGCATCCTGGGTTTGGACAGGATTTGCCCGTTTAAAATATTTCCATCACGTTACATTACATAATTCTGAATAAATGTAATAGATTTGTAGTTAAGTGTTGCAATTAGTTTAAAACTATGCTAATTTAACATGATCAAGGAGGTTATTAAGATCCGTTTTGCATAACATCACTTTCATTTGCATTTAACTATGATACTTTGATAATGATTACTAATTGTTATATGTGCAAAGCTTACTCAGTACCCCTCACTGATTGGTCATCATTGAGTGGTAATCACAAAACAACTCATAACTGCACAAGACAACCACTGCGCGCTTGGCAAGCTCAGACGAATTGCAGCTTAGTAATTGAAATGACGCAATTGTGCTCAATATCAGTTTTATAATTTGTTGCCGTGTGCTCCATGATTATTATTATTTCCGTTCACACGTAACCATTGTGCAAATGACAAAAGGTTGAGAATGAGGTAATTTTCTTATCGCTGCTATATCGAGTGTGGATTAAAATAGTTGCCCCGTCAATAGAGTAGGATCCCTATTGTGATCGGACAAGAACAGGTCACGTTGTGTACTCATGGGCACAGGATTGGACAATAATACACATAATATGTGCACAATAATACTCATAATATGTGCACAATAATACTCATAATATGTGCACAATAATACACATAATATGTGCACAATGCATATATAATGCTCTACGGGACTACTATGACCCCTACCGCTCCTATAGTAGGCAAGTACAAACCTGTATTTTGGGACACCTCGCGATTTTCTCGTGTTGTGGGATTGTGTTGCTGACCACGATAGCCTCGATACAACTGCCCATCACCCTGAAAAACAGGAATTAGGAAATATAGAGTAAGTAGGTGACCTACCTTTGTCGCCCTTGGTTTAGCTCGGATATTGAAAGGCAGATTTTAACAGTATTGTGAGGTGTGGAAAGCAGGCCTATTGCCCTATACAGTACTGTATTACTGCACAGTGCACCCAGTATCTATTTCTACAGAAGAACTTGGATCTACCAAAATAGACTTAAGACTTTTAAAGTGTTATTAACACGTTTACTGTGTACATTAAAGAAAGCCGAACTTTCTCTAGTTCTACACACCTGCACTTTTGGACACTGTGTTTGAACAGACTCACGTGTGGCATAAAATACCTACAGCAAATACCTTTGCTTACACTTGAGAGGTATCAAGACTCACGAGTTTTATACTGCACTGGGGCAGGCTTTTGGCAACAGAATAGTTTATTAACAACCCAGCGTTCAGCAAATTAGTCTATGTTCTTAACATAGAGGTGCCTATAAAAGACTAAGGACCTCCACTAGTAGATACCAGGAAGTGAGTCAGTTGCTAAGGTGCAATGTCGTCTATTCTACACCTCATCTTAAGACCTGAGCTGATCATTTTACGGCTTAAACAGACTGGTAATCTTATAAGTAATCTGGTAATCTTATAAATGGTTCCTTAATATTTTACTTTTTCTTGAGAAAAGTGTCAAAATTAGATTTGTTGATCACAAAAAAATCACAAATCTCATTATGTGTACTAATATAAGCGAATGACGGATATATGGTGGAAGTAAGGGGCTTCAAAAATGTAACGATACCTTTGACTGGTATCCTACCAAATCCGATATTTTTCTAAAACTTCGCCCTAAAAAACCCGCCTTGGAACCCGCTTACCTTTCTAGAGCCGGTCCGCTAAATACACCATGCGTCATTACAGCAAACACCGCTTTGGCTCCAGCCTCTTTCAGTCTGAAACAGAACATAGTTTAGTAGCTGCCACACCCTCCTGCATATCATGATAGTCTGTTTAATAACCAGGGCAACTGTTCGCTCACACGTGATCCGGTCATCTCTAATCTCCTGATATATCATCTTTGAGGAATGAGGAGTATTGTCATCCAAAAACTTCGGTCGTAAGTATCAGTGGTGTTTGGTATTAAATGGTTTTTTTCCCGGGCTGAAGATGAAGTTTGATGTGTGCAACGAAAATAATGCAATGCGCGGTCCCTGTCAACATTTTAAAATTAGCTTGATATTTTCGAACACAGAAAATGTAACAACGACAAAAGCAACGGCACAGCCAATTCTGAATGACCAACACCGACTGATATTTTAAAACTTTTAAAAGTTTGAAGTCAATGAGATTCACATAATATGCATACATTAGAAATCTACATCAGCGCCATGCAATGGAGCTCAAAGCGTTAAATTTTTCAAGTGCAGTACATATTAATTCCTATGAAAACTAATGGTATAGCATGGTGGTGGTTACCCATAGAGATAGTGAGTTGTATATAGCCACCATGTAGCAGTTATTTAATGGGATGAAAAAGTATGTCGAGAAGTACGTGATATTATTATTACAGTATGTGTATTGTGTATGTGGTTATTCGTGATGTTATATGTAATGCACTGTGCTGACATTCTTAGCTTTCCTTTGAATGGAGTGAATGGAAATTTGCAATGAATAGTCTGTCTCCCTGCAATGAAAAAAAGATAAAATAGCTGGATAAAAGTGCAAATGGGAGCTGAAATATAATGTCAAAGGTGAGGCGTCGGATTCTAGCGGTATGAACAGCTTTAAAGGGGTTGATGTAAATAAGAAATGATGATTTTCAAACAAACAAATGAGTGACGTGAAATGTGGTCCAGGGAAACTGGGAAAGAGTTATACTTCTCGTCACGCTAACGTCACTACCACCATCCTCGTTTCACGTCTCTGCGCGTCTCACTAATTAATTATAATTAGATAATTAGGGTAATTACTGCAGCTCCGTCAGCTGAAAAGATAATTAGGAAGTTAAGGCTTGTTATAAGACTGGATCATTGGGTCAAAGCATACTTTCGGTCAAAGTTCACTCTATGATTGGGGATACTTTTCCTTTTTGGCAAAGCTCTTAGTAGGAGTTTTTAGTTGGATAGTATGTAATTGTGATTGGGTGTCATGTCGTTGACAGTTTGATCTTTTAAATCCAAATTTAAAGCGGGTCTCGTATTGAATAAGACGAAATATGAGAATAATGAAATGGTACTGGTGATTAACTTTGCCATGTGACCAGCAGCACCCAATCATCATTCTTACATTTCAACTGTCAATATTACAAAACTTATCGGACAGTAATTTAGTCTGAACGAATAACAACTCTATCACTAATTTACCTCGATAAGCCTGGACCAACTAGGGTAAGGTTAAGAATAATCACGAGAATTCGATTATTAAACGCTAGAGACCTCTAAAAAATACAACATCCGAGGAAAAACGATTATGAAAAGTAAGAATATTTCATACTTCTCAGCGGCTTTAACCACAGTCCCGCACGTGTCAGCCAGGTCGTCCACAATGATGGCTATTCTGTTATCCACGTCACCTACTAATGTCATTCTCTGTACTTCGTTAGCAACTGCTCGCTGCGGGAGATATTTACACGTCACTCAAAATATAAGATACAAAACACCGCGTTGTTAGTTGTTACAAAACACGATATTTTCTCTTTTGAACAATGCTAAATATAGTGATATTGTTCTGATGTGAGATGATGGAACTGACTCAACGCATGCTCGTCATTAAGTTTGTAATTATGAATTAAGGAAGATCTTTACCATGTTTTACTTAAAGATATTTACCATGACTCATCATACACAAGGAATATAATTGTTGTTAGTTACTCAATTATTATTCTTATCAATTATTAAATATACCGCACTACCTCACCAAACCGTCATATTGTATGTAAAGTATTGTCAATGATCAGTTGTAATTGCACGTAATATGCAGAATATAAAAATATGGGCGGTGAATATGCTGCCGAGAACATGAATTTTTAGAATAGGTTAATAAAGTAATGCTTAATATATCGCGATATCTTTATATAGCATGATTTGTTAGTGTTCAACAGAAGAACACTGTTGTTCAGCGGAATAATCTTTTCTGAGAATTTTAAAATGTGCATGACAAAGATTCGTGAATTTCTTCTTACGATTCGATAATTATATCGTTTGTCGATAAAGTAAGAGACACAAAAGTTACGTGGAAATTCACCAGTAGACCACTAGACCACAATGAATTATTACTTAATAATTAAATTTGTCTTATCAACGGAGGTGATAAGAACAATCTCAACTTTCGTTGGACGGATCGGACGGAAGCCTTTGAATATCATATCGAATTAGGAGGTAATATCCGAAGGAAATAGAAAGCAGGGCTATCTTGCAGGAAGAGAGTGTGCACTGTGCAGGTATGTGGGGGGAGGGAGTGTGCACTGTGCAGGTATGTGGGGGGAGGGTGTGTGCACTGTGCAGGTATGTGGGGGGAGGGTGTGTGCACTGTGCAGGTATGTGGGGGGAGGGTGTGTGCACTGTGCAGGTATGTGGGGGGAGGGAGTGTGCACCCTGAAGGTATGTGGATTGTGGGGGGAGGGTGTGTGCAGGGGTTGCTGTAGAAAACAAGTCCCCTCTACCTCCTGATATGTCTAATCCTGTGACACCTTTGCCACGTACCCTCTACCAATCACCTTCCTCCCCTCTACTCCTGAGTTCTTTAACACGTTTGTTATATGATGCATCCCTATTCCCAGTATTCCCTAGTTGGGGGGGGGGGGGGGGGGGGCAACCATATTAAAGTATATTAAAATGTAGGATTTTTCCCGATTTTGACCCGGGGATATACTTTAATATACTTTAATATGGTTGCCCCCCCCCCCCCCCCCCTAGTTTGTTTGACTTCAGGTCCGAGGGTCGTGACCATTGGAGTTCAGACCACTTAAGGGTGCCACATATTCTTCAGATCAGACCACTAAAACAAACAGCAATTAGACACCTACTGACGAGCAGTGGCCGGTAATGGTCCTCCTGCAGGATCTCCTCTGCACTGATTGGTCAGGTTATTACCTGGGACTCACCTTATTATATTTACACTAGAAATTCAGTTTTTACTTCTACTACACTTTTAAAAACAAACTTAATGCATTCCCATTTCTTATAAACATAAAACTCAATCTACCTTACAAAGATACTTCATCCCACGTCAAAGTTAAATTTGTCTTATGCAGGGAGGGTGTGAACTGCAGGGAAACCCTCTAACCATCTCCTTCCTTCTCTCTAATCCTGAGTCCTGTCTATCCGCTCTCTTCTCAAGTAGTACTTTTAAGAGAAATAACGGGCAAAGTTTTGGTAAATATATCGAACATTTTATACCTCCTGTAAAGTGACTAGTGACATACTCGCCCGTGTGCACTAATGTCACACTCCTTTCTAAGGAGAGAGAAGGAGAGAAGCTGAGCTAGAAGTTTTGATAATAGGTATCTCTAGGGGATTGGACAATTAATGAATTTAACAGGGAGCTGGAGGAGAGGTAGGATTACCTGGAGCATATTATTTAGAATATTATGAGGCTCTGAGTATTATGCAGGTTTTAAATGCCTGAAATCGCGGCTTTTATGAAGGCAAATAGCATGTTCAAAGCGACAGCCACAATAAATAACCTTTTGCGGTATGTTTTGGTTCAAAGTCAAAGATATCCGCCCGAATTTCAAGAGCTATTATATATCCAAAATTCCTTTCACAATATTCCCCATTTTTACGGAATATTCAGTAACTTAGGTAGATGAGGTGACTGCATGTCAGCAATTAAGGTTTTTTAGTGGAGTGAGACTGGATTAATTTTTAAGTCTGTTCTACATATCGTTTACGAAAAATACATATTTAATTAAAAATCGATACCACAAACCCTACAACACCGGAGCATATTTTTACAAAAAAGAAAACCGTGAACGGGGAGGGTCGGGTGGTTACAACATTTGAGTTGTGCTGCAACGTGACTACCGTAACACTACGCCCCACAGCCCATATCATCATGGTCAATTGGAACGTTCCATATCGTTATCAGCTGCTCTTCAGTAGCTGGATATTTGTACCGGGACAGATCCGGGACTGTTTGGGGTCACATTCTGGACGCATTCTGGACATCTTCATGTGCAATGTGCTAGTTACTGTAAAGTTAAAACCGCGGAGGCGGAAAGCGAGGGAAAATTATACGGTTCAGGCACCTCGGATAATGTGTTCGTGACTTCTTCTGGGTATAATGCAATTAATCAAAACTAGTCAGTCCGATTTTGGGTCGGAGCTCAGAATTAACCAATCCATGGGTCACATACTTCGGCTGGAACCAGTAAAGAGGTATTATATCCTATTTCTGATTTGATTTCTTATTTCTTATTATGAGCACTAGAGGTCGAGATTGGAACTCTCCTCACAATTAATGTATGTATTAGAGTTTCTAACTTGTTAGAAGAGCATATTATTATCTTAGCTCTGTATCATCCTCCTTTAATTTTGACATTATCCCCTATTTATCCCATTATGTCCCTACTTATCTCATTATGTCCCTACTTACAATATAATAACAGAATACACACTTGTAACCGGAAATGCATGGCGGCTGTAAGGGGAATTTTACACGCGATCAGTCAGTAAAGTTCCTCAAATGTATGATTAATCTGAGATAAGCTGGATAAAAGACTTAAGTTTTTTGGGCCACCATAACAATCTTTCAAAGTTTTGTTCTATTCCATGGAACGTTTCAAAGTTTTGTTCTTTTCCATAGAACGTTTCAAAGTTTTGTTCTGTTCCATAGAATTAGAACGTGTTAATAAAAAATATGACGTCATTATACTGCACTGGTACATATTATTTGTACAAAACTAGTATTTTATTTGAACTCTCATCCGGTAGTAATTAAATCATGCAATTTTATTAAAACGGAAAAGAGAAGAATATTATCAAGTGCTGTTATTTCAAAAATATAAGATAAGGTGCAAATTAGTTTGTTGCACCAAGACAACACCACGGAACCGCTGCGGGAACAGTGGAAACAGTGATGGACGTGTGAAATATCCCGGTACTGAGAGAAACAGAACTCTGTGTCATACTTATTTCCGAAGATAGAACAATGTTTAAAAGAATGTTCGTCACGAACTTTTAAAACTAATGGAGCTGTTAAAACCTGTTAGTTGACAGAAAGCTGGCTTGAAAGTTCTTAATTATAACCTACTTCTGAAGAAACTGTTTAAAATATTGTGAATGTGCTGCTTGAACTTACCTCTTTGTGGATGAGGGCAAAGTTGACATTAAGACGGTCAGCAATAGAAACAACACGTTTAGCTCCACCGGCATCAGGGGATACAATAACACATTCTCTCCAGTTCTGAAATTCATTTATAAAATAAATATGCAAAAGTCAGTGGACGATGTTCCATTATCCACTTGAAATGATTGATTAGAGTTGATAAATTCTATCTACACTTGTTTTTTTTTGTAGTTGACATTAGATAAGAGTATAATTTCTGCATATAATAATACAATACAAGTGGATTTTAATTGTTACCTCGATGTTCTCTTTGATCCATTTCAGAACAGCCGGTTCAGCATACAGGTTATCAACTGGAATGTCGAAGAATCCCTGTATCTGTGAAGCGTGGAGATCCATGGTGATGATGTGATCAGCTCCAGCAACAGACAACATGTTGGCAACCAGTTTGGCGGATATGGGTGCTCGGCTCTGGGACACAATGATTTTAGAAAAGCAATACCAAAACTGGCATAATTTGGGGCTCGTTTCTAGATCTCTTTACTTTATGGGGGGGGGGGGGGGGGGGGGGTGACATGTCTCCAATGTCTTTTGTCTTTTTTGAAAAGATAGGGTGCAGAGACATGTCCTGGAGACATTGGAGACATTGGAGACACAGCTTTTGGAGACATTGGAGACATTGGAGACATTGGGGACATTGGAGACATTGGAGACAAAGCTTTTGGAGACATTGGAGACATTGGAGACACTGGAGACGTAGATGTATGATTGGAGAAGGAGGAGGATCTAGGAGGAGGATGACCCAGGAGGAGGACTCAGGAGGAGAAGGAGGAGGATGAGGACTCAGGAAGAGGACTGACAAGGAGGAGGACTGAGGAGTACTGAGGAGGATGGCTGAGGACGATGGCTGAGGAGGATGGCTGTGGAGGATGGCTGAGGAGGATGGCTGAGGAGGATGACTGAGGAGGAGGACCTAGGAGGAGGAGGACCCAGGAGGAGGAGGACCCAGGAGGAGGACTCAGGAGGAGGAGGAGGAGGACCCAGGAAGAGGACTCAGGAGGACAGAGAAGGAAAAGGACTGAGGAGTACTAAGGAGGATGGCTGAGGAGGATGACTGAGGAGGATGACTGAGAGGGAGGAGGAGGAGAACAATGACTGAGAAGGAGAAGGAGGAGGACCTAGGAGGATGAGGACCCAGGAGGAGGACTCAGGAGGAAGAGGAGGAGGAGGACTCAGGAGGACTGAAAAGGAAGAGGACTGAGGAAAACTGAGGAGGAGGAGGACTGAATAGGAGGAGGAGGAGGGGGACTGGGGGAGGACTGAGGATGAAGAAGACTGACAAGAAGGATGAGGAGGAGGACTGAGGACTGAGGAGGATGAAGAGAAGGAAGACCCAGGAGGAGGAGGGATGAGGACTGAGGAGGATGGCTGAGGAGGATGACTGAGAGGGAGGAGGAGGAGGAGGAGGAGGAAGAGGACTGAGGAGGAAGAGGACTGAGGAGGAGGAGTAGGACTGAGGAGGAGAAGGAGGAGGACCTAGGAGGAGGACCCAGAAGGAGGACTCAGGAGGAGGAGGAGGAGAACTCAGGAAAAGGACTGAGAAGGAGGAGGACTCAGGAGTACTGAAGAGGTTGACTGAGGAGGAGGAGGAGGAGGAGGAGAAGGACTGAGGAGGATAAGGAGAAGGTGGAGGAACTAGGAGGAGGATGAACCAGGAGGAGGACTCAGGAGGAAGAGGAGGAGGACTCAGGAGGAGGACTTAGGAGGAATGAGAAGGAGGAGGACTGAGGAGAACTGAGGAGGAGGAGGAGGACTGAATAGGAGGGGGACTGGGGAGGACTGAGGAGGAGGAGGACTGACTCGAAGGATGAGGAGGAGGACTGAGGACTGAGGACTGAGGAGGAAGAGGAGGAGGATGAAGAGGAGGAAGAGGACCCGGGAGGAGGAGGACTGAAGAGGACGATGAGGATGAGGACTGAGGAGGAGGAGGAGGACTGAGGAGGATGGCTGAGGAGGATGACTGAGAGGGAGGAGGAGGACTGAGGAGGAGGAGGAGAAGGACTGAGGAGGAGAAGGAGGAGGACCTAGGAGGAGGAGGACCCAGGAGGAGGACTCAGGAGGAGGACTCAGGAGGAGGAGGACTCAGGAGGAAGACTCAGGATAACTGAGGAGGAGGAGGAGTGAATGGGAGGAGGAGGGGGACTGGGGAGGACTGAGGAGGAGGAGGACTAAGGAGAAGGATGAGGAGGAGGACTGAGGACTGAGGAGGAGGACTGAGGAGTACTGATGAGGATGGCTGAGGAGGACGGCTGAGGAGGATGGCTGAGGAGGATGACTGAGGAGGATGACTGAGAGGGAGGAGGAGGAGGAGAAGGACTGAGGATGAGGAGGAGGAGGAGGAGAAGGAGGAGGACCTAGGAGGAGGACTCAGGAAGAGGACTCAGGAGAACTGAGGAGGAGGAGGATGAGGACTGAATAGGAGGAGGGGGACTGGGGGAGGACTGAGGAGGAGGGGGACTTGGGGAGCACTGAGGAGAAGGAGGAAGACTGACGAGAAGGATGAGGAGGAGGACTGAGGAGGAGGACTGATGATTGAGGAGGAAGAGGAGGAGGATGAAGAGGAGTAGGAGGACTCAGGAGGAGGAGGAGAACGACTGAGGAGGACTGAGGAGGAGGAGGAGGAGGAGGAGGAGGAGGAGGAGGAGGAAGAGGAGGAGGAGGAGGAGGAGGAGGAGGAAGAGGAGGAGGAGGAGTCTCCAAAAGCTGTGTCTCCAATGTCTCCAATGTCTCCAAAAGCTGTGTCTCTAATGTCCCCAATGTCCCAAATGTCCCCAATGTCTCCAATGTCTCCAAAAGCTGTGTCTCCAATGTCTCCAATGTCTCCAATGTCTTTGTCTTTTTCGAAAAGATAAGGTGCGGGAGACATTGGAGACATGTCACCCCCCCCCCCCCCCCCCCCCCCCCCCCCCCCCTTTAATGAAGTAGTAGTATAGATACAATATTTCAAAATGTAGAATTTAATATAATCTTTTAATCTTATGATCTAACATTTTCAATGTTGATAATCTTAGGATCTAACAATTTGAGTGTCTATTTTTTAAAGCACATCCGGTTCACTAATGACAAATAAAGGTAGGATTATTAACAAAATTCTTAATTACCTTATCTTTCTTGTCTTGTCTAGCGTAAGGGTAGCATGGAATAACAGCAGTCACCCTCTCTGCGCTGGCAATCTTACAAGCATGGATCATAATCAGCATCTCCATCAAATGATCATTAACCTCTCCACAACCTGGACCAATAGTTTAGACAAATAAAACATGAATATTGAACGTGTGCTGTGGAAATTCTATGACAAAAAATGCTGCAACGACAGAAAAGTATCAATATCAAAACTCCAGCTTAGCAAGGCACAAATTAAGGATAAGGCAGCAGTCAGCACACACCAGTACCTGATTGAAGAATGTAGACATCCTCTCCTCTCACACTCTCTCCAATTTCAACACATGTTTCCTGGTTTGCAAACTTCTTTAACACCACCTTGCTAGGCTCTGTTCCTAGGCGCTGAGCAATGCGCTGGGCCAGCTCGGGGTGGGAGTTGCCAGCAAAGATTTTGATGTTGGGCATCTTGCGGCTACACTGATATGTACAAGTTAGTTTTTATTGGTTGAAAAGTGATACAATTCTTAAAACGGAGATTTGATACTTTATTTGTGAACAGATTTTCTATAAGAAATTAGATTGGGATTCAAACTTTAGTATTTAAGACCTGAACCTCTATTAGATATTGACTGTTCATGATCACAAAAATGTTAAACAATTTTCACAACTCCCACGTAAATGAGTGTGCTAGTAGCAGTGATTTTCCACTTGTCAAAATGTTCCTTTCAACACTACTATATAACAAATAATCTGAGGTATGAGATATGATAGACGAGCGTAAGTGTTGACGTGCAAAGGACTGCTGTGAGTGTACTTGAAGATTACTCATCCTCCTCCTTCTCATCAAAACTATTCTCATCAAAACTACTATCTGGACTGAAGGTATTGCGTTTACAGTGTTTATTGTGCTTCTGAACATTGAACTCTTGATAATATAACTATGTCAAATAATCAGAGCTCAGACATTAGTCTCCACTTTTGTGAGCGCCCTTTAGAACATTTGAACTTTTCATTCCAGTCTGAAAAATCAGAGAACTGTAACAATTGTCTGTCAAAAGACATCAAGATTGACTTTTTAGAAAAAAAGTTGTCTTTATTGAATGAAATTATCAGAACTAGTGATCTCATTGCTCAGTACAATGATAGTCTCATATCAGATCAAACTCAAATACAAGAACAGAGTTTTAAGTGTGAAAATTTGCTGCCGAACTTATCAGAGGAGATTGAATGTGAGATCATAACCATTACCCCTCAGTCACACGTTGTTATCAATCAAGTAGAAGCGTTTGATGTAGATGACATTGTTGTGGAAGATGTTGTATCGGACAGTTTGTTTGTTGACAACGATGTCGTGGACAAGGTTGTTCCACAGGAGGTTGTTGGAAACGAGATTGTTATCAGTGAGATTGTTGTTAACGAGGTTATGGCAGACGAGGATGATGTGTCTGATCTCCCTGTATCTACTGCTACTGGTGAATCACGGATCAACACCCCTAAGCCCAGAGACAAATATCCAAACTTGGTCCCTGCCCCTGTCTACGATCCTATAACACCGGGGCCAATGAATATATCTGTAACTTGTTCCCCATCACCAGTGAAACCAGTTACCCTACTAGATGATGGTCCATTCTCTAAATTTTCACTTGATCTATTAATGGAAGAACTTGAGTTCAGTCACGGTTTTAAAAACAGGAAATCGGTTTATTTTGGTGACTTTCCCTATGAGTATTCAGGTGCAACACATGACCCAAAAAGTGTACACAATGATTCCTACCTTGCTAAACTCAGCTCCTACATTAATGTGATATTACCCAATTTCAGACACAATAGTATTCTCGTCAATCTATATGAAACTGGAGCAGAGTTCATGCCAGCTCATAGCGATTCTGAATCATGTATTGTAGAACACTCTGATATTGTAACCATTTCACTTGGTGCGACGAGAACACTGCAAATTAGATCAAACGGCAGCAATGAAGTTGTGGGCTCTGTGCAGCTTCAGCATGGAGATGTCTTCATCATGTCCAAATTGTCTCAGGCTGACTTTCAACATGAGATACTGCCAGACGAAATGTGTGATGAACCCCGGATCAGCATCACCCTAAGACTGATGAAGCCCCCTAGGATCACTCAGTCAACTGAGTTTGGTCTGCGTTCACGGCCCCCACCCATCCCTCATTCAGGACACAAACAGACAGACTCTTCTTCACCTGCACTCTCAGTTTGCAAACAGCCAGCCAAAGCTTCACAAAAGTCTGTCCTATTCATAAGCAGCTCTATGTTCAGGTTTCTTGATGCGGACAAGTTATCATCGTCCACTGTTAGTGCTAGTAAACTGTTTTATCCTGGGGCTGATGCCAAAGTAATGTTAAATAAACTAAAAACTGACCTACACTCCGTTCCATCCCCATCTATTATTTATATTATGACAGGAACTAATAATGTGAACACAGTCTATTTTGGCTCAAAGTCACTGAAGGATGCAGCGGGTGACATTAGTAATCTCTTAAATTATCTCAAGTCAGTGTATCCGAATGCAACAATTAATGTTCTCAATATTCTTCCCAGGAGTACAAAAGGCCGCAATGATGTTGTGGCAGAGCTGAATAAGGTTATTAAGGATATGTGTAGCAAAGATTCTTGTTTTAATTACATTAGCACCCATAATTTATTTAACTATAATAGAAGTGGATTCAGGAAAGAATTTTATTTTGCCAGACCATCTGCAAAAATATCTGATAACTGTCACCTCAATACAAGCGGTGTTATTCGACTTGCTAAATTTCTGAAGTATTGGGCCCATAAGCAAGTATGAATTTTCAGAAAGATTGTTAACATTTATTTCATCTAGATTCTAGATAAGGGATAATTACACATTGTTCCTCATGTTTATTGAAGTTTTAGAAAGTTTTGTTATTATCTCATACAAATTTGCCAGTTCTGCAATTTATCTTATTCTGACAAGTTTATAGCAGCATAAATTGGAAAAATTTTCATGCTCTCACAGCAGTTCTTGCATTAACCCGTGCATTAGTAAAATCACAGTTTCATACCATGCCAAAAAGCTTGCAGTGGGACATTGCAACATGCAGGGAGGACTAACAGGTATGCCAAAATGTCTTGAAATCCAAGATCTAATCTGGAAAGAGAAATTAGATGTTTTATGCCTGAATGAAACAAATCTTAAGTCGGATATTGACTCAGCCAGTCTAAACCTACCCAAGAATTTTACTTTTATCCGCAAAGACCGTCCTAACGACAATGGTCATGGGGGATGTGGCATTCTCATCAGTGAGCACATAAAGTTTAAAATGATTCAACTAAACTTAGTTTTGCAATATGACCAAATCGAGGCTATTTGGATCCATCTTACAGATTGCAATATTTTCATCTGCTGTTTCTACAGATCTGAGTTGTTTAGTCCTCTTGACAAATTTTTAGATTATATGACAGACTGCATGATGAGTATAGGAAGTAAGAATGTTATTTGGCTGGGTGATGTAAATGTAGACCAAAACAACATCAGCAGTATGAACTATAAGAAATTAGACATTACAATGAAAATGTTTGGAATGGTACAGGTAGTTCAGGATATTACCCGCATTGCTAAACTAGGAAACAGAATCACAAAGACCACAATCGATGTTGTCATAACAAACACTTACTCCAAGTTTCTTGACTGCAAAGTCCTTGATGATTGTATAGGAGATCATCAGGTCGTAAAGTTCATTGTCGATTTCAATGTGCATAAGGCCTCAAAATTCAAGAAGTTACTAATAAGAGATCACAGCAAAATGAATGTTACTGCTCTTAAAGAATTTTTGGAAACCTGTGATTATAGACCAATAATAGATTCAACTAGTCTGAATGATGCAGTTGATGGTTTAAACGAACATATTGATCACTACTATGATCACTTCTGTCCAATTAAACAAATTAAGTGCCATAGTGATTACATCCATAAGCCATCTCCAGAATTTTTAGAAAGTAAGAAATTGAAAGGGAAACTTTACCGTAAATTTTTAACACACAACAAGAACAGACGTATACATCCAAATGGTCTTATACACTGTAATAAATGTGACTCATTATGGATGGCATATAAACGGCAGAGAAACTATTCAACCTATTTGTCTAGAATTAATAGGAAGACTAACTTAGCAACAGAACTGAAAGCCAAGTGTGCCATGAATGATCTAAAGGGTGTATGGAAAACGATAAAGACAGCATCAAATCTGCCTGTTAAAGCTAACAATATCAATAACAATCTTGATGCTGAAACCACCAATAAATATTTTGCTGAAATAGGTCCAAAGATCCAAGCAGAAGTGCAGCTGGAAAATGAAAATGAATTTCTATCTTATCTACAAAATGAGCAGATTGACAACGAGACCAGCTTGAATAGCTTTACTGAAATAACTGAGTCCAATATCTTAGACTATGTGGCAAGTATCCCTTGTAGCAAATCCACTAATGATCATATACCATTGAGAGTGTTTAGACAAATTTTACCTGCATTTATTGCTCCATTAACACATCTTGTAAATTTGAGTTTATCCAGTGGCATCATGCCAAACAGCTGCAAGGTTGCAAAAGTCACCCCAATCCATAAGGATGGTGATACTGAAAATCCTAGTAATTATCGACCAATCTCAATTTTACCGATTCTTGGAAAGTGCATCGAATTTTGTGTGAACTCCCAACTGACTCAATATCTTGATGAAAAGGGAATACTTTCAGAGCATCAATATGGTTTCCGTAAAGATCACTCTACAACTTATCTCATGTTAGATCTGTTTGATCGTATATTTACTGCTAAGAACAGTGCCAAGCATCCTGCAATTATCTTCCTGGACATCAGAAAGGCATTTGATACTGTTAACCATGATATTCTCATTCAAAAGCTGAAGCATTATGGAATAAAAGATACTGCATTGAGCTGGTTTAGGAGCTTCCTCACAGATAGATTACAGCAAACTAGAGTTGGGAGTAGGATAAGCAGTTTACATTCATTGAACTCTGGAGTGCCTCAAGGAAGTATATTAGGACCAATTCTATTCAGCATTTTTATCAATGACCTGCCTAATGCATGCCTATTTTCTAAACCTTATCTATTTGCTGATGACGGTGCATTATATTTTGACAATATATCTAGAGGAAACTATGGTAACATCAAACAAGAGTTGAAATTAGTTATCAGATGGCTTCAGGCTAATAAACTATCCCTGAATAATGAAAAAACAAAACTAATGATCCTTGACTCTAAGCCTAACCTTGATGCCATCCTTGTTGAAATTTGTGATGACCTTACTTTGGTAATCTGTGAAACTAAATCCCATAAGTACCTTGGACTTATAGTTGACAGCAGATTGACATTTAATGAACATATTGATAACATTAAGAAAAAGATATCCAAAAGAATTGGTGCTATGTATAGATCAAAAAAACTTCTCCCTCTTAAGTTCAGGAAGATGTTTGCTAATGCACTTATGTTGCCACATTTTGACTACTTAGACACCATCTGGTCAAGAACATATAAAAAACGACTAGGAGAGTTAGATATCATGTACAAAAAGGTTGCTAAAATAGCCCTAGATGTAAACATCAGAGAGAGGTCGGTTAATGTATACAAAAATATGGGATGGCTTCCTCTCCATTTGAGACGACAGGTTCATCTTAGCTCATATATGTACCGTATAATCAATGAAACATGTCCAAAGCATTTTATCGGGAAATTCTCGTATATTTCTGGTGG